TCACAAAAAACCAATGAGTGGGATCTCAGTTTACTACAAACTTTTGCACAGCAAGAGAAACCACCAATAGAGTGAAGAGACAACCCACAATGTGGGAGAAAATATTGACCAGCTGTGCCGCAGACAAAGGATTGATTACTATAAAAAAAAAAATACAAAGAATTGAAAAACATCAGTCCTCCCAAATTTAAAAACCCAACCCAGAAATGGACATGCTTCTCAAATGAAGAAACACAAACAGTAGGGCTAGGGACTTAGCTCAGTGGTGTAAGCGCCTGCCTGGCAACCATGAAGTCATGGCTTGATCCCTGTTAACAACAACAGCAAAAAAAAATACTAACAAGAAATAAATAAATGAAAAAATGTTCAACATCACTGGTCATTCAGGAGATGCAAATTTAAACAACACTAAGATTCCACCTCACCCCAGAAAGAATATCTATCTTCAGGAAATTAAACAACATCAAATGCAGGAGGGGGTGTGGGCAAAAAGAAACCGTGTCCACTGTTGGTCAGAGTGTAGACTGGTGCGACCATTTTAGAAGTCAGTATAGAGATTCCTCCAAACCCTAGGATTGGAGGTCCCATTTGACTCAGCTATCTTCCTTCTGTGTATCTTCCTACAAGAATTAAAAATGTCATTCAACAGTGATGTATGAGCACCTATGTTCAGAACAGCACAATTTGTAATAGCAAAAACTATTTGATAATGCACACTGAATACCCATCAACTGAAGAATGGATTTTTAAAAAATTGTTACTTTTAGACAATGGAGCACTACTCAACCATAAAGAAGGACAAACTTGAGTCTTTTATAAATGGATGCAACTTGAGAACATACTCATAAGTGAAATAAATAAGACATGCATGTATAAGCATCATGTTGTCTTACTACTGTGAGAAGCCTAAAGAAATAATATATGAGTATGTTAATATACAAACTATAGTTAAGACAGGTATAAAAATAAATAAAATCTCAACTAGTAATGCAGGATTCCGTCAACTTTGAATAAAGATGTTATTTTCAGAGTTTACATGTGAAGCGACCTGAACCCTAGCAATGCGATGAGAACATGCTGAGTTTAACCTCATCTCTGACCCAAAAGGCCCAAGTTGTGGTTGTGCGGAAGTCACTGGTGGTAGCAATGCCACTGTTGCTCGCTGAGCTAGAAGATCACTGCTCCAGGCAGAACTCCTGAGGCCTGGGATCTGGGCATCTCCAGGACTCAGGGGCAGTTGATCTGGGTACCTGTTTCTACTGAAATTTCCCCACTGAGAGATGTGTGGGAGGCCACTCCCCTCAGCAGTGGGCGTGGCTTTCAGAGCCCACTGCTCTGTTCCTGCCATTCCTCCCTCAGGCAGTGGGCGGGGCCTGCAGAACCAACTGTCAGTTCCCACCATTGCTCCCTAGGGTGGTGGGCAAGGCCTGCATATCCAACTGGCAGTTCCTGGCCATTGCTCCCTCCTGAGGTGGGCAGGGCCTAAACAGCACGACTGTCAGTTCCCCCCACTCCTCCCTTGGGTGGTGGGCAAGGTCAGCAGAACCAACTGTCTGCCCCCCATTCCTCCCTCCCGTGGGCAGAGGGCCTGCAGAGCCTCCTGCCAGTTTCCCACCTTCCTCCCTCTTGTGGTGGGCAGGGCATAAAGAACCCACAGTCAGTTCCAGCCATTCCTCCCTCAGGCAGTGTGTGGGGCCTGCAGTGCCCAACTCTCTTTCCCCCAGTCCTCCTCCTGTGGTGGTGGGCAGAGCACGCACTGTCCAGTGGCAGGGGTGCCGCTGTGCTGTTGAACAGGGCTCCACACACCTGAGTCCCTTGAGAAGCACGTGGTGCTCCAGCCACCAGAGTCACTTGTGCCCCTCTGCTGAGCCAGGTCTCCAAGGCCAAGGGCCAAAGCAGCCTCCTGAGACCCCTTTGTTCCCCTGAGGAAATGGGTTCCAGGTCCATCCAGCAGGCCAGGCACGCCCTCCCTCCATCCTCGACTACTTCCCAAAGTTCTGCTCTGACGGGGACCCTAAGCTTTGTAACTTTCCATCACAATTTTGCCTTTGGCCACACTAGAGCGACTGCTAGCCAAATAGTTCACCTGTCAAAACACATTGAGCACTAGTGTCTTTAGTAGCAGGTTCTCTGTGGATTCCCACTGGAGGGGTTTCTGCTGAACCATGATCAGGGTACCACAGCAGTGGTGATGTGTCCCACACCCTGAGTCCTGTAACAAGACAAGGTGTCCTGGATTGGAGCTTAAGGTACCCTTGCAAGCTGGGTTATATGTTTACACCTATCTGTCCTATGGCCCTTGGAAGGATTAGAGATCCACTGGTGATTTTCACCTTTGGAAACGGCAATACCAAATAAAGAGTTTCTTTCAAGAAGACTTTAATGTAAGTCATTTTCATTTCATAAACAGCCAAGTCCTGCTGCTCCCCAGGACTCTGTGGCCGAGCCCCGTATCCTGCCAGGTGAACATCCTTCTCCCCACTCTTCCCATCTGCCTGCCCAGAGCCCCAGCCAGACCCTTCTCCCAGCCAGGCCCAGTCCTCCTGCTTGCTCTTCTCTTGCCTTGTGAGAAACCATGTGCCAGCTCCCACGTTAACACTCTGCTCTCTTCAGAGAATCCTGTGGGGGGCACTTTTGGCCTGGGACAAAACCTGAGGATATGTGACAAGGTGAGGTCCTTCTCCCCTGAGCTGGGCCCTCACTGCAGCACAGCCTGGGGAGAACACGGTTCCAACTCCACAGTCCTCATTCAGCCCGTGTCTATTGCAGGGAGCTCTCATCTGTCCTCCCACCCTCCAGAGTCTCTTGGAAACCAGCACCATTTCTCTTCAGGCCCTGGAATTTTGTAGCAGGCTGTACAACTCTGTCAGTCTGGGGCCTCTGAGGGCTGAGTGCAGGCCACAGAATTCCTGGATACAGCCTCTGGAGCTGTTACTGCCTGAAACCCCTTCCTCCAGCTCTCAGGAACTCCTTTACCATTGCTTCTTAGAATCCCTTCTGATCCAAGTGACCTCACTTCCTCATCTCAAAGCTTCCCTTGGAGATGCCATTTTGGGTATTGTGGCCTGCTTTTTCCCAACTGCTCCCACTTGCAAACAATCCTTGTGCCCCTGACTTCCCCCTCCATGGTTGAGATCTGCTGTAACATGTGCAGACTTTTTCCTCCTGTTTCTGAGATGTAGCATTAGCTCTGTGACTTGGTCGTTCTGTTCAATCCTAAGGAGGTTCAGGGCTCCAATTTCTTTTGGGTCCAATTCCTTCTAGGATGAGGGTCTTTCTGGTAGCAGCCTCAGCTATTCCCCCTGGGGACCAGCAGAGGTGAGGAGGAACAGAAACAAGATGGAAGCCCCTGTGTTTTGAACTCATGTTGGAAGCCACATTCCTTAAGTCTCGTTACTATGAATTGTTTCTATGTGGATTTCAGGACTAGGGGAGAGTATAATGTTTCTCTTCATGGTTTTTCACAGAGGTACAAGACATGGAAGGTGAGACCAACAACCCAGATTTCATCCAACTGAAATCCCAAAGGAGAGAATGTCAAATGGAAGGAAATGTTGTAAGAAAACCTTGGTGGATTTTAGAAGAAGACTAAGAAAATACTCTCAGATTCACTGAACTTACCAGATGGTAAGCAGTATAAATTATTGAAAGATCTATATTTAAATGTATTCGACAAACTATCCTAAAAGTTGTGGGTCAAGAGGTAGTCATTAAATTTTCCAGGAAGAAAAGCCAAGCCATCTAAGAAAAAATGAGCTCGTTATCAGGAAACGCTGTATCAGAAAGAGCAAGGAAACAGTTCCAAGATGTGAGGCACAGTGAGTTCAAACAGCAAATTCAGACTTCCCTAAATGTCCCTCAGGAGGGCACGTAAAGACCTTTCCAGTCAGGCAAGACTCTGTCACCAAGACTTTCCCCTGGACTCTAGTAACTGAGAAGTTGGATTTTTGCACCTCTAAACAAACAAAACTAATCCACAAGGTAGAAAGCTATGTGATGTTTATAGTTCAGCCAGATATGGTGGCTCCAGCATGAAATCAAGGCTCTCAAAGGCTGAAGCAGGAGGATCCCAAATACAATTCCTGCCATGGGAACTTGGTGAGGTCATCTCGAAAAATGTAATTTTTTTAAAGAGAAGAACAGTGTATACCTCAGTTGATAGAGAACCCATGGGTTTAATCCCCTAGTACTGGCAGGAGGGAGGGTGGGGCTTACAGGTAAGTCTAAATGCAAAAATTAAAAGGCAAAAATACACAGGAAAGTACCAGTCAGCTAGATTTTCCATTTGGTGACAGATAAATGTAAGTTTAGGTAACTGTTAAAATTTTAAATTGTTAAAATAGACACAGGAACTAAATATCTATGTAAGTTACAAGGAAAGTTTGAATAAAGGAAACTTGATGAATTTAACAAGAGGCTGAAAAGGCAGCTGAAATAGAAAGCACAAAATAAGAACCCAGGATTAAGCCCTCACAAATCCATGATCAGAAATCTGACCAGGTCAAATTAACTTGTTAAAAAACAGAAACTAGTACTGAAAAGGTTGAGGCAGAAGGACCAAGCATTCAAGACCAGCCTAAGCTACCCACAGGGGAAACCCTGTCCCAAACAAAAAGCAAACAAAGCTTGGCTGTCAGGTTGTTTTTAAAATTCCAGCTTCTTCTGAGAGACACATGTAGGTTAAAAATAAAGAAGCAGATGCTAGGGGCTGGGGGTTTAGCTCAGCAGCATAATCACCTGCCTTGCAAGCAGGTGGTCGTGAGTTCGATCCCCGGTACTGATAAAAATGAAAAAGACAAAAAAAAAAAAAAAAAAAAAAAAAAAGAAGCAGATGCTAAGTTTAGTAGTTTGAATGGTGGCCACCATCTTGTTTGATTTTTTGAGCAATACTTTAAAATACTAAAATTTTCTAGTGAAACATTTGATTTCCTTGGTGAGTAACTACCTACACAACTTATCAGTGTCCAAGGGGTACTGCAGAAAACCAGCCATAAACTGGGTGCCTTAAAATACAAAACTTTATTCTCCTGCAGTTCAGCAGGCCAGAAGCCTTTCTGCACCAAGGGACAATGCCTTGCAGGCCTGTCCCTGGCTCATGGGCACATCACTCCAAGCTTTGCCCCCCTTCACATGAACGTCTCAGTTCTGAGGACACTTGTCACCATGCTCAGAGCAGGCTGCTCCTGTGTGCTCCCCTTCTGTTCTGGCCTCTCTCCCTTCTGAGGTGCAGTCTCACAGTCATAGGTGCCCTCGTCCTCTCAAGCTTCTGACTGCATTTCACCTCCGCGTCTCGGATGTGAACTTGAACAGTGGGTCCCAGTTTCTCATGGCTGCAGCCCCAGTCTCCTTCAAAGGAAACTCAGCCTCCCCAGCGGCCACTTCTCTGTTCCGCACCTGCAAGCACAGAAATTTCCTTGTTCCAAGCCTGACCGGCTTTCTTAAGTCCTCCTGAGTCATGTCACAGGATGTACCCATGTTCCTTGAGGTCTGAAGTGTACTGACTTGCAAAGATAGGTCCTGAGTGTCCAGAGCAAACCCTCCCTTGGGCCTATTAGACGTTTGGCTTCTCAGGGCACAGCCACCAACTTTGTAGCCACAGAGATTATAGAACACATAGGAGGGATGGAAATAGCAGGTGAGAGGACTGCAAGAACCTCTTAAAGCTGTGGCCCCTCCAGAGAAAACCGGAGGCACTGCCTGCTCTTGAGCTGCTGGTTTTTCAGTAAGGCCAGCTTCCTGATCTTTGGTGCCAGTCATAGACCAGGCCAGGGAGCAGTAACAGCGCTGCCTCTGCTCATGGGGGCCCCCCTGGTGTCTTTGCTTCATTACCATACCCCTCTCTTGCTCTGCAGTTTTCAGGACAGCAAGGTTTACCATCCTGTTGCACTGTCAGGCTGGTGAAGCCTTATATGAAACAATCACTTGTAATAATTTGTTCAGTAACCCACTTATTTGTCTTTAAACTGGTACATCACCAGAAGACACATATGTACTTTTCTTTGGATGGGTAAAGTGTAGAATGGTATTGGAGTCTATGGCCATACCAAGATGAACACGTCTGATCTCCTCTGATCTCAGAAGCTAAGCAGGGTCGGGCCTGGTTAGTCCTTGGATGGGAGAATGGTATTGGACAATCAGACCGTGCAGTTTTCTGTCTCTCTGATACTTTGGCTGAGTCCAAACCAGTGAGATCATCACACTGCGTTTCTGTCCATGGAAACTGAGTCTGACTTGCCTTTCTGATACTTCCTGTCTATGGTAGTCACCGTTTGCAGGGGAAACAATGCAGGACACATAATTTATAGGATTGTCTTATAATACTCACCCCAAGTATCAAATGCAAAAGAGCGGAGCAGATCTGTTCTCACCATAGAGACTCAAAGAATGTGGCTGAGGGCCTGGACGTGTAGGCACCATGGGGACCTGATTCATATTTTCACATTTGGTGCTTGAAAGCTGTGTCCAGAGAAGGGCATAGGCATGGTGAGTTGTGAACGAGGCCACGGCATGGCCACTGCCAATGAGCTTCCATGGATGTGGGCAGCTGATTACTGGCATAGAGCTAGGGGTTCCTGAAAAGTCCTACAGCTGTCAATATTTTGTGCACTGCACCAAGGGCAGGAGCAGACCAAGGGGACAGAGAGCAGTCAGCATTGCCTTGATACAGTGCGTCCTTGGCTCTTTCCAGCCTGAGCAACTCTTGTCACTCTGTCCTTGGCCTATCACTCAGGTGACAGTGCTGGTACATGGGGTGGCCCGGCTGGCTGCCCTGGGCAGAGAGAGGGAAGGGATAATAGATGCCCTAAGCCAAGGGTATGAGTTGTTGGAAGGAGCTGCTTGCTATGGAGACAAAACAAATGTGAGGCTGAAGAGTAAGGGTCCTCGAGCCACTGGGGTGGAGGTCTGGGGGGATCGGGGCAGAGGAGAGTCACTGGTGGAAGTACAGGGAGCACCAGACAGGGGCCTGGTAGGAGCAGTGCTGCTGTCCTGTGGTCTGAGCAGCTGTCTAGGGGAGGCTGGTGGTAGGCGGGCAGCACACTGTGGGATGATTTGCTGGCCAGGGTGAGGACAAGGGAAGAGCAGCAGTCATGGCCTGACCTAGCCCAAGGTGGCTGGCCTGAGACCTGGACCATGTCATAGTATGAACACTTTGGAGCAGGTACCAGCAGAGACAGACTCAAATGTAAATAACCAAGGAGAGAGGACAGAATAGAGTGGGGGACAGCAGTGGTCAGCAGGGAGCAGCCCAATATGGGGATCTGCAAAGCAGGAACAACAGCCTTCTCTGCCCACTGAAAAACTGAGGACAGCCAGCGATTTAGCTCAGTGGCATAAGCACCTGCCTGGCATGAGCCAGTTCAGGAGTGTGATTCCTGGTACCAAACCCCTATACCCGCCCAAAATACAAGCATGTCGGAAGCTTCATCAGAGCCTCTAGGCCTGACCTCAGCTCTCACCAGGTCTCAGGTCACCACAGCTTGGAACATCACTGAGTGAAGGACTGGCCATGGCACCTGCAGAGGAGAGCAAAGTCATGGTCCATGCCCTCCACCCTCCAGGTAGAGAGAAAACAGGAGGTGGAGGATGCCTTGCAGCCCAGGAAAGCACAGAGGGTGGGGGTTGCAACTTTAGGGAGGGTGGTCAGTGGGACACCTCACAGGGAGGGGCCAATGGCAGCAGCATCTGCTCACTGGGACCTGGTCCCTGAGGCAGGAGCAGCCACTGGCTTGGGCCTGAGGTGAGGCAGGCCCCAGATGTATCTTACTGCTGCTGGCCTTCCTCCAAGTGCAGTTCTGTGATGCTGATGTGGCCTCACATGCACTGTAAGCGCTGTGGGATGTCATCAAGCTCCAGAAATCACTGGTGGGATCCAGGAGACTGTGTCAGTGGGGACAAAAGTACTGGGATCCTTGCAGAAGTGGGGCTTGCTGAGCTGTTGGCTGCAGTCACAGAAAAGACAAGCAGTTGGTAAATCTCTTCCCTGAATTACTGAGTGTAAAGAAATCGAGTCTCTCTGCTGGTTCTGAGGACCCCTCTGTCCTCTGTCTTCTTGCATTAGCCAGAGGCTCACCCTTGACCCCATGAGGACAGAAGAGTGAGGCTGTGGGACTGAGCTTCTGAGCCTCCTCATGGTGGCCCTGTAGCTCCTCTTATCTGGCAACTGCTTTTAAACCTCCCCAAGTTCTCTGCAGATGGGCAGTACTGATTTGGAGGTGTTTTTATGTTTTCTCTTGCAGTACTAGAAATCTATCCCAGGGCACCCTCCCGGAGCATGTGGGCCTTTCTGTTGAAGGTGTTGAGAGAAATGAGCATGGAGTCTTGTTGGTGAATCTTTTATCACCACGGTCACCTCTATGCATCTATGCCAGATGGCTGCTCACCCAGGATCAGGCAGAAGGCCCTGGGGCTCAGCATCTTCAGTAACTTGCCCTATCAAGAGCCTTGCTTGACATCGCTTAGCTCCAGGATTTCTGTGACAGTATTAACACTGAAGGCATCTGACATCCTGCTGTGTACCTGACCTATACCAGGCAACCTAGAAGTGGGAAGAGCCTCCCTTCAGTGAGCAGACAGTGAGGCTCAGTTGTGCTCATCGCCTCCCCACTTGAGGGTCTAAACTTTGTCTTGCATTATTGGTCCCATGTCTGGCCAGAAACCAAGCTTCCTCCAGAGACAAAGGGTGGCAGGCAGTTCTGAGCAGGAACCTGGGCCCAGAGATGGCAGCTCCACAAAGAGCACCACCAGACGAGCTGTCTTCCTGGGTCCTGGGTACCATTTGAGGTTTATTTGGCCCGACCCTATGGGCACACGAGGCCCCATATCTCCAGGTTCCTGAAACAGTTCAGGTGGTTTAATGGGACACTAAATGAACTCAAATTAAAACTTTTGTAAATAAAGCAGCATCTAATGCCTCATATAAAGCAGTGCTTGTTTTTAAGATTAAAAATGCACCCATCTACACAGATGCTCTGCAGCTATTATAGATCAGAGTCCAGTTTTCTTATTTTTATTTTCTTATTTTTCCCCAGAAAATGTCTCTATTAACCGAAATATAAGCAATATGTACATAAGATAGATTGATTTGAGTGTTTCGCTATTCACTGTACATACCTCCTACCACTTACGTGAGTATTTTCTCGATAATAAAATATCTACCAATAATTTTCTGTAAAGTGAGCAAAGCAAGTGAAATGTATATGGCTGTTAAAGCTTGCAATATTGCCTTCACTAAATCAAAACCACATGTGTTTTTAAAGTAAGGCTGTCTAAGGCTTGCTTCCTTAAAATAGAGATGTGCTGGGCCCAGCACAGCACGGCCTGGTGGCCCTGGATCCTTCGCTGAGGTCTGAGGCCCCCCTGGAGAGTCTGGCAGAACTGTGCAGCTTTTCAGTATAGTGAACGAGAAGACAGAAGATGCAGGTGCAAGTGAGTGGGGACAAAGCTGACAAATGCCACAAACTGACTGCTTTGCTGCCGTTTATGGACTATGTCAATTCCACCTGCTGCATATTGACAGTGGAGCAAGTGCTTTTCCATCTTTAAGAGAACAAAGACCAAACTAGGAATCGCTGAACCGCACAAACTGTCTAAGCCATGCAATTACTTACACAGACACTACTAAATACCATGCTCCCTGCTCCAATATTATAGCATAGCCATATGAAAAATAACATCACAGCATGATTTTGTCCATAACTAGAACTCTTAGGACCAGGCTGACAACTGACTCCAGGATCCTACAGGTGACAAGACCCAGTATAAGAAAGGGTTATATCATAAAGAACATACTGTAATCTTCACAAGTATTTGGACTTTAAATTAATAGTATGAATACTCAGCATAGCTGCTAAGTTGTTTGGAATAGTTCCGCAAAGTTCCAAAGCAAATCTTGCCTGTGAAACACCTTTTCACACCTGAATACAATTAAACTAGGAAGCAAATTAATTTTCTTAGTGTCAGACACCACAGATAACAGCCTGCCATCAAAGGTCGAGTTGAAAGCTTGTAAATTTTTAAGTAAGTCTTTAAATGAAATCCCTGTGCTGTCAGTTTGTCCTTTTAATAATTCCATGGTTTCCCAGTTGGTCTTGCACAATCACGTGTCTAACTTGGAGGAACACTACATAAATATGAGTCCTCAGCCTGAGTGTGTAATGGTGCAGTTCAGCAGCACGTGAGATGTGCTGTGGCTGGGTGTTATTTTCATTGTGATTTATATACACAGCATTTTACAATGTCCACAGGTGCAGAAAGTGTTCATCCTTTTGGAATAGGGACAATTAAGAAAAGATAAAAACCCAAAGAATCATGGCAAAATATGTACAGCATTTACTAAGGAGGCATCACCCAGATTTGAACAAATTTATGTTAATACTGTAACCGAGTTGGGATGACTGCTGTGGAACATGTTGAATCTGAAAGACAGGAGGCACAGGCATTAGTCAAAAGGAGGGTCCCCCCAGATCCAGGTTCCCCTTTCTGTCCCCCCCCAGTCCTCAGGTCCCCTTGCTCTTCAGGAAGCTCTTTTCAACTGAAGCCATTGCTGCCTTTCTGAAAGGCAGTAGAGGAACCCATGGAAGCCAGGCAGCTGCAGAGGAGCTCTTGGGGGCCTGGCCAGGGAGGCGCCACCTGCTGGGCCACACTGCACCTGCATAGCCTGGAACCCAGCTGTGGCCAGTCCTTCCCAATCCTTAGATCCTCTTTCACTCCAGAAGACTTTCAGTCCTCAGACTTAAGGCTTTCCCTTGAGGACACACAAGTAAAGAGTGTTAACTGCACACTGATCATCTTTCGATAGTTCACCTCGAAGTTCATTTAAAATCATCCTTGCTGATTGGTTATGAGTACCATAAAGACAGTTTCCTTTCAGGAGTTAAATGGTTCACCTCTCCCTTTGCTTCCACCAGTGGATAACATGGAACAGGAGTCCCCACCTCCCAGGAGTACAGAACACCAGAGACTCAGACATAGCCTCCATAAAATGAAGGCTCTGCACTAGTCCCTGGACCTCATCCCAACAAGATGGCAGTGTCAAGTGAGGGGTATGACCCAGCCTCGGCCTGACCACCCACCGGGCCTAGGTGCTGAGCTCTTGTGATGGACTCTGCTTTCTGGGGAGGGGACAAGGGCTTCTCATCCCAGATGCTTATCTCATGGTGGCTGATTCTGATGGGGGTTCCCTGTGGGTTTCTTCCACGGAGGAAGGTGGGAGGAAGCAGCGCCTCCCCTTCCCTAGCCAGGGAGAAGAGGTCCCACCCTCCAGGGCTTGCTTAGAATTCAGAGGTCCCCATCATTGCTGCTGGTTCCATAGCTCACCACTCCATGACCCTTGACTTTCCTCAGAAATGTGATGCCTTCTCTGTCCCTTCCCAGTGCTTCTATGAAGAAGAAAATGTACAGGGGAAGCACTTACCTGAGCTAGTGATTATTATTTGTTCCAAGACCAAGTTGTCAATCACCTGAAAGGCAAAGGTTAATAAACATTGTAATGACAGTACAATTTCTAGTGTCTGTGCTCTCAGCATGAATGAAGTGGTTCTCATCAGACATAGTTTTGTTGAAGCTTAACACTGGCTGCCTGCCTTCAGCACCAATCAGTCTGAGCAAGGTCAAGCTGCACACAGCCCCTGCCACAAGAGTCCCCTGAAAGTAAACTGAGTTCCCATGATGATGGATTGTCAGACAGCAGTCCCCAAACCTGTCCCTAGGAAACAGGCCATGCCAACACCATCACACTGCTGAGTTCCCACATGAGGCTGCAACAGACTTCGGGCCAAAGAAATTAACTGGATTTGAAGGAAGCCAGAGGTCAGGAACTTGCAGGAGAAAGGTCAGCGGTCAATGTTAGGACACAGGAAGGCCAGCGCATGTAAGATGGCAGAGGACTGGCCTCAGCCAAGGCCCATCCCAGGAGGCCTGGAGCCCAGGGAACTTGGTGTGTGCTCCCCGTTGAAGTGCTGGCTGCAATCCAGTCATCAGTGCACCGGGAGTGAGATATGACCTGATTGCAGCTCCTCAGTGGATGAGTGCACACAGCCCAAAATGCTGGTGGTCAACTTGCTGTCTCCACATTGCTAAGCCCTGAGGCTTCACCTGCCCAGCCAGGATGACAGATTCCAACACTGGTAGGACGCTGCCATCATGCAGACCAAATTCTTCTCACTACCGAATCCTCAAGTACTACACAGAGGTCAGAAAGCCCCACCCTTCCACAAATCACGAAACAGTAATGTGAAAACGCTCTACAAATGTACACAATTCCATAACACAAAGAGCAAATGCCACACTGCTTCACTCCAGTCCTGGCAGCAGAGGTGACTCTGCCTGGACCCACTGTGGTGGCCTCAGGCTTCCTGAGGCCTGCTTCTCATCATACTTATGATAGCTGCATGCACTCAAGGGGACACAGTAGGCACAGGCCTGTCCCTGACTGGACCTCCCCAAGAAAACCCATTTCAGCTGAGCTTTCTTTTCTGTGAAGGGCCAGGGGATAAACACTTTGTGGTGGGCTGTGAGGTCTCAGCAGTGACCACCTTCCTCTGGCAAGAGCACCAGCCATGCACAGACACCAGCTGTGCTTCAGCTGAAGTCTGCAGACCATGACATTTGTATTTCACACAGTCTTCAGATGACACAAATTCCTACTCCTCCTTGGAGGCTTTGAAGACATGAAAGCCACCTTACCTCACAGCTGATGTGAGAGGCACAGGACCTGCTTTGGTCTTCTACTTGCAGCTTGGAAACTGTGTCCCAGGACCCATTCCTGTCACTTTCAATCTTAACAAGCTTCTCAGGGCTCCTCCTTGGGGAACCTTTCACAAAGGGGGAGGGGCTGCCCCACTGCAATCAGAGCACAAAGAGCTGCTAACTCACAAGAAGACACAGCTGACACACAAGGATCCAAGATGCCCAGTATCCCAGAATAAGAGGGCAAAACCAGGAGCGCAAAGGCGTCGACTTTAGAGGTGACAGCTAACTTTTGAATGGCCTATGTCATCAAGTTGTGAGTTACAATACACTCTGCCTGTGCAAAAGCATCATTACTAAAAATGCATCAAAAACAGTAAGTTCTCCCTTGTAAGTAAATATGCAGAAATCCAGAGAGCCATGAATTTCAGGAGTCATAAATTCAACTTTCAAGAAACCATCCTTCAGTGCTAATGGATCCTTGTCAAGCATCCAAACTACACAAGGATAGTGAATCAACAGGGCCTATGAGTCAAGGCTGGAGAGCCAGGAGCCCTGCATTACTCACACCACCTTCCAGGGACTTGGGCTTACACCTCCCTGTGTCAGTCATTCCCCATTGCATAACAAGTTTTGTGAAAGAGTTTTTATCTTCTTAATTCCACAAATCGCTTCTTACCCTGGCCATACTGGCACCAGTCAGTCCTGCTGTCCAGCTTTAAGGGTTTCTTTTCCATTTGAAAAATTCCAAAGCCCTCCACAGGCAGGCCATCAGCAAGCAGGGAGCTACCCTGAGGTCTCCAGACATCATCCACAGTCTCACAGCTTGTGGTCTTGGGTGAGTGAAGTCCTGGTTCTGTTCCAAAGTTCTCCGAGTGCCTCTTCTTTTGGTATCTGCAGGGCTGAGTGTCTGACTGCACTACTGGGAGGTCTGTGTCCAGCAGACACCTGCAGAAGCAGCAGCCAGATATTAGCAACAAAAGCACCAGCACCACCTCAGACAGCACATGGCACTGTCCTGACCACTTACTGAAGGCACTCAATGTAAAGCCACGAGTCAGTGCTTATCTAGTTCAGAAGGGTTTTCCACTTTCAGCTGTAAATCATTTTAAAGCCGAGGGCCATAAATTTACCAAATTCAACCCACCCCTGACTCCCCCACCACAGGCTCTGTGCTCAGGAGCTGGGGGTGACAGCTGGAAACATGGAAGTATGGGACATCTACTGAAATCAGTGATAGAAGGAAAAAGGAAAAAGACAGACAGACAGACAGGGGAAGGAAGGAAGGAAGGAAGGAAGGAAGGAAGGAAGGAAGGAAGGAAGAAAGGAAGGAAGGAAGGAAGGAAGGAAGGAAGAAAGAAAGAAAGAAAGAAAGAAAGAAAGAAAGAGGAAGAGAGAAGGAAGAAAGTAGAAGAAAAACCATTTTCCAGTGTCTGAGCCTTAGAGGAGAAAGGGGTTGGTAATTTGCTTTCATTTGCCCCCTAAGTAACCGATGCCTGATTATATACAGCTTTTGGCCTTCCTTCGCTAGGATTTTAGGTTTTTAAAGGAAGTTAAGTAGCATACACAGGAATTCCAGCCATCCTCACTCATCTTCTCATGAAGCAGTCGGTTTCAAGGCGGCAGCCAAGGCTGGGCCTGTGGCTCCCTGGCAGGCGCTGGCCTCATGAGCACAGCTGTGGGTCTCATCCCCAACACACACACACACACACACACACACACACACACACACACACACACACTCACACAATCAACACCCTATTTAGCATTTTAAAAATATGACTGTTTTTAGGTTTTGTATTGAGATTCTTGGACAAAGACCAAGACAATAAATGATGCCCCTCAGAATCCACCCTTGGCATACAGGGCAAATACCAACAGATCTGTGCCCTACCTTCGCCTGCTTCCATTTAGTCTCTCAATTTACAAACAAAAACAAAGTTATGAAATGTAACTTATGTGACCATCAATTTTGAAGTCACCAAATTACTTCTACAGAACTCACAATTATTCGTAGGATTTACAAAGCATTCACTGAGAATGGCGAAATGAGGCATTTTATGATACAGGAGGTAAAAGCTGCACCGTTTTAGAAATGCAGAGAAACAGTGAAGTTTCAAAACCCACAGAGCTGAGGACTGGACCCTGCTGGCAGAGCCCGCACTCACCTGTGCTCCCGCTCATGGTGTTTGGCTTTAGATTTGTTAGGCTCCTCCAGGTCTCTCGGTAGGCTCCTGCGGGCTTTCTTTGGTGTGCTACCCCCGTTACAGGTACTTTCTGCACTCTGGTACCTGCGCTTGCGTGACCTCATGGTTTCATGTCCACGAATCCGGTGCGACAGGCTGCAGCCACTGTGGTCAGCCCTGAAGGCAGCTTTCTCCTGAGGGTAGCACTCAGGGTGCAGAGGGCAAGGCGGTGAAGCACCAGTGTGTGGGCTGTGGAAGCCGGTCCACTCCCACAGCAGGGCAGGCAGCTCCTGGCCCTTCCTGGCCTGGGAAGAATCCTTGTGTGACCGTTTCACACTGCGCTCCCTGGCTTCGTATGGAGTGTACCTGTTGAGGTATCTGCACTGGTCCCACCACATTTTCTTGGGGTAAGACTTCTCTGGAAGCATGTGATGCTCCCTGCCAGAGGGGCGGTATGGGCTCCAGTCCTGCTGAGCCCCACTCCAGGTTTGGGAGTGGTGGGAGCTGTATCTGCTCAGAACACAGGGCTTCCCGGGACTGACTCTGTCTCCACAACACAGAGGGTCCTGGTTGGCACTGCAGTGTTGCACAGCATGGCACTCCAGCTTGTTGTGCTTTCTCGCGTAGCAGAGCCACTTTATGTCACAGTTACCCTCAGTTCTGCTCCTGCTCCTGCTCCTGCTCCTGCTCCTGCTCCTGCTCCTGCTCCTGCTCCCGCTCCCGCTCCCGCTCCCGCTCCCGCTCCGCCTCCGGCTCCGGCTTCTACCTCTGCTTTTCTTTACATCTTCCCAAGTCGAGGAACAGTCATGACGATTATGGTAACCTTCATGGTCACATCGCGTACGGCTGCTTATTTTTTGTGTACGGTGGTCAGGAACCTTCTGCACAACCTGAACTTGACTGCACCCCTTGACATGGCTGTGCGCAGGGTCCCCTTCAGGATGGGTTCCTGGGGTACTCTGTGGCTGAGTAGAAGGCAGTGCATTGGCACATTCTCCTGTATTCTGGGTCTGAGCCCCTGTGTCACCACACTGCTCTCCCCTGAGGGAAACCAAGGGCCCGGGCTCACATCTGCCTTCTGACTGTGTGAAGGGAGCCAGGCTCAGCTGCTCCACTGTCCCGGCTAGTCCAGAGTGCTGCAGGCTCTCAGGTAACAACCCGTTTGCCTTGCTGCAGTCCTGTGTTACCTTCCCAGCATCACAGGGCTCATAAACTGGGTCTGCACCTGTGCTTGTCTGGTTCTTGTTGCAAAGTTTGTTTACAAAGGGCAAAGACACATCAGTTATGGCTGAGCTGGTTTCTGACATCACATCTCTCATGGATTTGAGGCTGATTTCCGGGGTCAGCAAAAGTTTCTTAAACATTTCACACAGACTTGCAATCGGGTCCACTTCATCATGGGAACCAGCAGAAACACTGACAGCCTCAAACTCTGCAGTCAGGTCCCCAAACAGACTTTGCTCCATTCCAGGAACACTGCATCCCGCCAAAAGAAAGAGACAAGCCAATAGTTAGCAGGATGCTCTACATGCATTGTCATGGCTTTCATTCAGTAAATATTTTTTCACTTTAAATATAGCTACTTTAGGTATATTTAGCTACCTTATGGACAGTATCAGGCTACCACTTCTGGACACCAACCAAAATTTACATCAAGCCTTCCTGGTTTTGAACAACAATAATTCTGCAGCTCTGCACATTGCTTGTTTCCAGATGTACTTCTAATTCTCAAGAACTAAGTCATTAGTTGATGACTTTCCTGCCTCCCTTCTTTCTCTTGGAAGCTCAGAGGTGAGGTAGCTATTTCCAAACAGAGCCAACAACTCCTTAAATTAAGGAAAACTAAGGGACTCATTGAGGCTCTCCACAGCTCTGGAAACAGTGCAACCCCTACCGTGATCTCCACTCTCCACTTAGGAGATCACTCCTACAGCCCCGAGGGCAAGGTAGTAGCCCTGAGTGCAGCAGGGGATTTTTGAGGCTGCAAATCAAAGCACATGTGCTTGGCCACAATGCATGCATGGCCTCACTTAAGTGTATACACACAAATTCTCTTGCACATTCATTTTGAGCAGCAAGGTGAATTAGGAAAGAAACAAGGGCAAAGTCATTGTGCAAATGCAGGGCACCCAGCTATTCTATCTGAAGGCAAAGGGGGATGGAGTGTGCTCTGCCTCTCCATTCTTCTTTAATAATGCCACATCCCTAACATAGGGTCTTGGGGGCCATCTGGGGTGCTCACAGTGCCATGGAGGTGGCTATTCCCTGACATGTCCTCACATCTATTGGGGTGAAACCCCAGGTTATACTATTGTTACCATTTCTTATTTTATTTAAAGACAAAAAAAGACATGACATAAAAAACAAAGCAGTAAAAGGGTACAAGTAATACAGAATTTCAAAAACAAATGTACAGTAAGAAATCACTGGTAAATGGGTACATACTGTCTTCTTAGAAACAGTTGTCCAAATTACAAAATTAAAGCATATAAAGTGGACATTCACAGAGTGAAATTGGAGACAGTTCCGTTCCATGATCCAACAAAAGCTCCGTAATATCGTTTTCCATCCTACACACTCAAACATTTCCGTAGACATTACCCTTCCCAGGAAGTAAAGGATTGTGTAAAATGAGAAATGGTCACAGTGTGAAGTGGCTGAAGCTTTCCCAAAGTGGCTCACAGCCCAGTGGTGCCGATGACAACTCTGGATGCAGTGTTCATGCTGAATGATCACAGGGTGCACCTGCAGGTGCTCAGGTATCTGCCCACTGATACACTGTGTCCTGTAGCTTTGGTTCATCTGCAGATTCCACATGAAGCAACCACAGCTTCACTCCATATTCCTTTCCTCTTATTCCTGAGTTGTGTTACAGCTATGTCAGTACACTGACTTGTTTTTAAAAATTGAATGGAGGACAGCCTGCCGAGAACCAGCTCAATAGGGAGTCAGCACCAGCCCTTGCCCCTGCACACTCCAGCAGCCCTTGGGATGCTCCCAACCCAGGGAGAAAGCATGACTGGGGAAAAGCAGCAGCAGGACCTGTACCAGCACACTCTGTGGCCAGAGCAGTCAGGAGAATCCAGGAGAATCAAACTTGCACACTTTGGTGAAATTGTAGCCAATGCAGGAAGGGCCTGGGACACCACTACCCGCTTATTTGGAAGAACCCAAGAAAGTGTCAAGATGAAGAAGCAAAAGGCATCCCGTGGACTCAAACCAAGCAGAGCAAGTCTAGAAGAGAAAAGCATGGGAGAGATCGGGAGTTGCGCGTCGGAAGTTTCTAAAGAGATGGCAAGTGAATTAAAGAGACAACTTCAGGAGGCTCTAAAACAAATTAGTGAACAGAAATACTATCTCAGGTAAAAGATGAAATGAAACGCATGATAAAAGAGTTGCTGAACGTCTCTAAAAAACGCATAGATTTAAAAAGGGAAGTGCATAGGAAACAGAGAGAAACCTTTAATGAACAAACTAGGACAGATTTAGAATGCACGAAACAGATTCAAAGAGTTATCCAGGAAATTAAAACTTCCATTGAAATCTGGTAAAACTGCTTGAAAGAAACAGAAGATAGACTTTCAGACCTTGAAGACAGGTGTGGAGGTTGCCATAGTAAGGGAAAAATCTCTTAAAAATAATAGCAGGAAATGACAATTCAATGATTTCATGATGATGCAAAGCAAAATGATTTAAGAATACTAGGTGTCACTGAGAAAGCAGGGGTCAACACAAAATGCCATTTATGGAAGTAGGAGCAGAAAACTTCCCAAACATGGGGAAAGAATGTGACATACAGATAAAGCATATGGAACACCAGCTAGCCATAACCAAAATAAATCTCCACATATAATACATATAATAATCAGGATTCCAAAATTTCAGCACAAGAGCAGAATATGAAAAGCTGCATGAAAAAGAAACAGATCACCTATAAAAAACCAATCACATTCATGACAGACTTCGCAACACAAACCAACAAGTCAAGAAGAGCTTGGAGTGAAGCATTTCCAGTCCTGAAAGAAAACAGCTTCCAGCACAAATCAATGTAGCCTGGAAAACAGTTTTTCTAAACTAATGGAGAAGCAAGATACTTCCATGACAAAGAACTGAAGGAATTCATAGCCACCCAACCAACCCTGCGAAGAATACTAAAGCACATGTTAGTGAGAGATAATAAGACCAGAATTCCAGAAAGAGCATCAGAAGGGGACCATGGATTGGGGAACTCAGTTGAAAGGAGGGAAAAGTAGGCAGCCAGTGGCAGGAAAATAGCCTGGCAGAGACCAGCCAGTGGATGGAGGCCATAACATTAATGTAGATGGCTCCATTCACCAATAAAAAGAAACACAGGCCGAGTGGATGAGGGGATAAGACCCATTACTGCGCTTTATTCAAGAAACACATTGAACTCAAAAGGAAATTCATAGACTGATAGTCTAAGGAGAGAAAAGTGCTCTATATGACAGGGAATCAGAAAAAAAGTAGGGGTCTCTTGCCCATCAGCTGTAGAAAGGATAGGAGAGAGGTGGCATTTCTACACAATGGAAAGCTACTCAGCTAGAAAGAAAGATAACCTTGAGGCTCTTGTGGGTAAAGGAATACAACATGAGATCATGCTCATGGTGAAATGATTCAGAGTCACAAGAGGGAACATCATGCTCTCTCCCTAGTATTAAAAACTAAAGCAGTTGATGGGATCCAAAATGCACAATAGATGTTGTGAAGGTGAAAGGGGAAGAGGTGTCTACAGGGGGAAGGCTGTGGCCATTGTTAATCTAAACCCTGTTTCATACCCTGTATTGTTCTTTTTCTGTTTAGCTTGGTTTTATGGATTTGTTTTGCTTGATTTTATCTTACTTGATGGCATGAATGTCTATTTCTGAAGTAACAAAAGGTAGTATGATGGTAGCCATTATGGATTTCCTATTATCTTATTTGGAGCAATGTATTGCTTGATTTGATTTTTTTTGAAGTGATTGTCTGTTTTGATTTTGTTGTGTTTGATTTTATTATGTCTGATGGTGTAAGCAGCTACTCTGAAGATATCAAGATACTTTATCGCAGCCACTGTTTTATTCCAATTGTGTTGCCCTGAAGTCCCCTGTGACTTTCATTGTTTTGTTTTGATTAGTTTTATTTTGCTGTTTTATTTGATTTGATTATGCCTGATGGTATGGCAGTTATTTTGAAGATAACAAGAGGCATTATGGTAGCCATTTCCTTTTATCTTGACAAGAAGCCTCGTATCGTGTTCATTGTTTTGTTTTGATTGATACTTCTATTTTGTTTGTTTGATTTCATTATGTCTGATGGTAAAAACAGCTACATTTTAGAAAGGAAGAAGCATTATGGTAGCCACTGTTGTACTCCTGCAGTCTTGTTTTGTAGGCCTGTATTGCTTTCATTGCTTTGTTTTGATTGGTTTTATTTTGTTCTGTTGTATTGGATTTTATTGTGCCTAATGTTACAGGAAGTTATTTTGGAGATAGTAAGCAGCATCGTGGTAGACAGTTGGTTTCCTTTTACCTTGTTTTGAAGTCTTATATCATCTTCATTGTTTCGTCTTGATTGTCTATTCTATTTTATTTCTTTCAGTTTTGTTTTCTTAAAAATAAAAACATTGAATGTGGGAACAATTGTATTCTCTATAAACTTAATTTCAGATTTCTACGCAGGCCCTCATAGGGTATTGTGGACTCTCAGAGGGTCTGTAAACTCACCGGTTTGGAACAGAAGTAGAAGCTTGAACAGGCCTAGGCCTGTTCACCTTGGGATTTCCACCAGGACTCCACGTGGAACTACTTGATGTGTCTATTGGTGCCCTGATCCTGTTCCAGTAAGGCAGATTCTGCAAGGGAGAAAGCCAGAGCCAGGTCAGCACCCAGCCTACGGCCTTCCCACGTTGGTCTTGTGACTGACAAATTACACAAAATCACAACCACCACCCTTTTCTTGCATCTGCTCTACCCACAGGCACCAATCACAGGCCCTAATTTTAAACTAATTCACACACAGGACATATATGTCTCCCAGAACACCATCCCGGGACCATATTCTTTCTGGGTCCTTCTAGGCATGGGTTCATGTATGCTCTCCTTGGCTGGCATTCCTAGGAGGTCACCACTGTACAGACAGAAGTCACAGAAGCAAGAATTGCAATTGGTTTCCAAACAAAGGAGAAAGTCACATGGGCATGGAGCAAAGGCTGCTTTGGGCTCTGCATGTGGGTTTGTGACAGCTGGGTGTCACCTGTTGAGGTGTCAGCATTGTACTCATGCACTTCTACTGCTCCAGGTTCCAGTACTAGCCCTGGACCCTGTGACAACATAGGTGACAGCTGGTTCATTGGAAAATACTAGTTGACCTATTTGGTGTTTTCTTAATTTTCTAAAGTAGCTGCTGAATCAGCATGGTAAAACAAAAAAATACTTAATATGTTTTAAAAACCTCTTTAAAATGTCTATTGCACCTGTCCCTTTCCCACTGTGCATGCTTTCTGCTTTGTCAGTCCCCTGATGTGTCTCTGAAGCGCTGCCCAATTCAGCAGCGGGCCATCACAAACCTCATCATCACCCCAGCTCATAAAGGCCTTTAACTGAAATAGAGCCCAAAGTCTACATAAAAAAGCGTTTAACCAGATAATCTCATGGTTCAAACCAAACTCAAACTGAGCTGCAAAACCTGACAGCAGCAATGACCTAGTGCAGTTCAAGCTGCAGAAGGCCTGGGCAGGGGTCCCCAATGGCTGCGCGCTGCGGACTGTCAGGTCCCTTGGGCACACAGACACGTGGGCATGATCACACGCTTGAGGACAGCACAGAGGAAAAATGGCTCATTCCTAAAATAGCTATGTGGATACAAAGTGTCCTTCTAATAGGATCAATTTTCTGAGGGCTAATGTGAGTTAAAAACTCAATATGACACCAGGTTAAAGCCCAGGTCCACAGTGGGTACCAACATTTAAATATGCTCATACCACGTGTACCTCTCCATCATCTTTGATGCTTAAATAACTGTATATTTCATGTTTTGAAATAAAAGACCTGAATATAGGATTTTGTTAAGAACTCCAGTTGTAGACAGGACATGGCAACTACTGCAGTGTTAGCCTGAGTGTTTAAGGACAGACTCTTAGAGTGAGGTAAAAATCAGAGGCCACATGTGAAGTATTACCCGTGTCATGTGAGATGGCAGCTGTGGTCCATTAAACCCTGGTGCAGCCTGCTCTTTGGTCGAGGTACACTGATGGGTGTCCGGGTGTGAAGAGAACTGACAGGGGTGGCAGGGGAAATGAGCAGTAACCTCACCTCCGTGCTTCACATCATAGGTCCTAGGGACAAAGAAAGAGAGGGCTTAGGAGGACAAAGGGCCTCTTGAGTAGGGACTGCTTTACAAACTCAGTCGCTCTGGAACACACCGATGGCAACGGCACTGCTTGTACATCACACTGCACAGAGCCACAGGATGCACTGGCTGCAGTAGGGGTGTGGGTCACTGTTGGGGTGCGTAGTCCAGGTCACAAGGCCAGCGAGGTAAAGGAAACAGTATTTTCAAATGCTATTCTGAGGATGCTGCTATCAGATGCCTATTTTTCTGTCTGTATTTTTAATTAAAAATATGGAGTACTGCAGAAAACCTTGAGAGTGTATGGGAAAGCAGGAAACAAATGTATCGTCTTGTCCATACAGAAGGTTCCCCTTTCATTGGACAGATCATCTCCCCATCTGTTGTGCAACACCAGGATCTCATAACAAACTGCTTTCCCTCCTTGTACAGTCAGCAGGTTCTCAAAGCATTAAAAAAGGGAGGGGTTTATAAAAAGCACTCAGCATGCGATGGGTGACACAGCAAGAAACTGTCTTTAAAAAAGGAAGAAATGAAAAAAGTCTCTCTTGAAAACTGCATAGTATTTCCACCCATCATTCTGCCATGTTGAACACTTTAGGATATTTTTAACCTTAAGCCACCATATTTTCAAAGGGGTACCTTGGGGGCTGTGGTGTGGCTCAGTCATAGTGCCTGCGTTCTCCTTTGACTGTGGTGGGATGAAAGAGGCAGGGGACACTGTGGAGGGCACAGCAGATATTTTCTAAAAGTGGAATTTGTAAGTTAGTTTAGAGCCACATCAGAATCAACCAACTGCTTGTCCCAGCCCACACTAATACCTAACCAGCACTGTGCTCAGTGTTAGAGAGGTGCTGGGTGTGACCAGGCAGGGTACTCAGAGCTCCCTTCCTGAGCCCTCTGGCCACTTCACATGTTCAGGTAGCAGCATAAGCCACCCCACCATCTTAGTCACCACCTTTGTCTTCCTCTGCCTCTCTCAATTTTGAGTGCCAAGGGGCTCTGAGCTACTTCCCGCTCTTAACCCGAGCTCATAAATGTCCTCTGGACTCTGGAGAGCATGCAAAAGGGTAAAACCTAAAAACTGGCTTTTAAAAAATAACTCAAAAATGAATTGAATGTGGGTGAGTTGAAAAGCGATTACAGTACAGAAAAAGTGGCCGATTTTTCATTGACATTACCTGATATAAAAGAGTATATAGGCTTGCTGACTCAGCACAGATGAAATATCACTGGGTGATACCATGAAGTCATTCATCTGGTACCACAGGCCATTGCTTGCCTGCAAAAGACAGCCAGCAAGAGAGAAATGTTAGATTTGGTCAAGTTGACAAAGACACAGTGAGAAGGAGGAGGAAAAGAAGCATTCACACATGACTTGTAAACCTGCCAGCTTTCCCCCCAGAGAATGCTAGTGCTTGCTGTCTTACAGAGTCTGTGTAAAAGCAAGAGCAAAATCCACACGACTTACTTTTACGTAAGAGAAGTAGTGGCCCACACAGCACTTAGATCCGCTGTGGACCAGCACTGCATACAATGAATATTGCATGGCTTCTCCACTAGGCTGAGACATGTATGCTCTAATGTTGAGATGTTCTGGGTATTTCACAATCTAAACAGAAATGGACAAAGGAGAAAGAATGTCAGTTCTAAAGGCACAGAATGCCATAGATGTTCAGGCATAGGGTATTTACGGTGCCCCAGGAGACCCGCACTACAGAGCACAGTGATTTTCCAGCAGAAACCCAGTGTGCTGAGTCACTTTTCAAAAGACAAGATAAACCTAAAGGACACCAGGTCTAAGGATAACTAAGGTATTCTCACAGTCTTTATTTTCATTAAACAATTTAGGGTGCATATTAAGTGAATTCCCCAAAAACATGATAGGTGATAGTCACAAAATGACAACTCTGGGCATTCAATACCAATTATTTTAGTTTTAATTAATTAATTAAGTAAGTAAGTAGCTTTGTTGATACAAGATCTTAATCTGTAGATCACACTGGCCTCAACCCTAGGCTGATCTTGAACTTGCAAAATCTCTCCTGCCTCAGATTCCCTAGTGCTGACATGTGACTCTATTCCAGACTCCTTCAAATAATTAAAGAATAGGTTAGTTATTTCTCGTGTATTTCATTGCAATTTTGTTTGTTTGTTGAAATAAGACTTCACTCTGTAAGCCAGGATGGCTTTAAACTTGCTATATCATTCAATCTGGTCCCAAACTCCTAATCTTCCTGCTTTAACTTCCTGAGTGCACCATGGTCAGCCTTGGACATGAATTTTTGACCACTTTCAAACTTTAGCAAGTGGAAAGAAAATAGTAAAATTGAATATAAGTGAAAAATCAGAAAACAAGAAAATAAACTTGGATGAAAGAGAGGGAAGATCTAGTGAGAAAGTCTTCTTTGGACTTTCAGATTATACAAACTCTACCTGTGTACTTTCATTACCATGGATATCAAAGAATTGACTATGGATGCCTAACACAGATAAGAGTTGCCAATTTTCTCAGCAGGTTTGACCTCAAGAGTATAGTAAAGACACACATAATCTTAAGCACACAAACCAAACCCTTCACTCAATTCTTTGATTTAATCCCCTGCTATCCAATGCAAGAAAACTGTAGAAAGTAAATCACCAAAAGTGTGCAGTGAGGTCATTTGTTACCCTGAAAAGCTGCTGGCACTTAAATCTTGGCTCCACATAAAATGTTAATAACATTATCTACATACCTTGGCAATTTTACTACCGGTACAATTAGAGAAGCGTTTCAGAGACAGTGTGAGAACATTAGATGGTCTGTGTATAGAAAGGCTCTTTGAAGCTGGAACCATACTGTTACACCTTGAAGTCAAGAGAAAAAAGGGATTAAGATGTCTAATGTATGGATGGTTTTTTTTTTTTTTTGGTGTTCTAGAATTCTACTCATTATTTCTCTGAAATACTCTAATTTAAAGATTCAACTGGAGTGGCCAAATGAGGGACTGCCAGCCACACACCACCCCATCATACTTGCTACACTTGTAGCAGTTCTCTCCTTCTAGCTGTTCTGGCTTCACAAACTGAGCCAATGCCTCGTTAACACTGCAGACATCCTGGGAGGAAAAAGCATCAATGCCACATCTTCCCACACTGCCGGTGGCTTGTGTGAGAGACAGAGAGAGCAAGCAAGGAAGCAGAAGACACAGAAAATTTAATGCAGCGTTTAATGGGGGAATTATTGTTTCTATGGGCATGGTGTGGCTGTGTTGTCAGCTACTTTGGAGATTGAAAGCGGAGGATTGTAAGATTTGGTCCTGCTTGATCAATTCAGATTCAACCTCAAAATGATTTTTAAAATAGACTGGGAAACTGACTAAGTGCTAGAGGGCCTTGGGATTAACTTCCAAGGCCACAAAAAAAAAAAAAAAAAAAAACTTTTCCCATTAGGATGATTACCCCCACCCCAATTAAAGTTTGCCATTGCAAGATCAAAACCAGATTGATTAACACTTACTAAGTGAAAAGTCAAAGAGTAATAAAGATTTACAACTTGACCACCACAAAAAGTATGAGATTTACCTGTATCTCCAATGTAACATCAAGATACAGATCAAAAGTGTCTGAAACGCCTCTGCAATTTAAACATTTCACTGAAATAAAAATAAAGCGAAAAAGATAATCAAAGTATAATCAATATGGCAGTCTCAGCTGTTTCCATACAAACAATTTAAAATGAAAGATAATTAAAACAGTAGAACTTTTCTTCTGCTAGATTGGCAGACAAGTTAATCTTATTCACAGTGTATGAAAAAGACTCATGAATTTGTACCTTAGTATACTACTGGATTAAATATAAACTTGTATGACCTCTTAGAAAGACAAAATGCCAATATTAAAATTTAAAATATAAGTTATGACTCAAATAATAATACTAAGAATTTATCACATGCACTTTTACTTATACATTGTAATGGTTGATACATTGGGTCACCCATTGGGTCACCTTGACAAGTTTCAGAGCTTCACTAAGCAACTCAGCAGATATGCATCCCACAGTGTAGAGGACATGGCCTAGCGCAGTTGCTTACGCACTAGGATGCTATAATTGTCAATCCTTTGGATCAACTTGAGAAGTTTAAAATATTAACTAATAATCTAGCAGGGTCCATCATCCTCACTTTGCCAACATCCTCAGCCTGTGCAAGACATGGTCTGAAGCTACCTACACTTGCCCTAGGGCAGGTAGTTTGCATACAATACAGAGAAGCTTGCTCCCCCCAGTCTTTCTGCTCTTGCTTCTTTTGCCCTCTTCTGCCACCATGAACTGTTGCCTCCCTGCTGTGCCACTCAGCTTTGTTGCCAGCTGATAATGGACTGAAACATCTACAAATTATGAGCTACATAAATCTCTTCCCCTTTAACTTTAGATCTCAGGTATTTTGCTCAAAAATGAGAAGATAGTAAGACACACATAAAGCATGAGTGCTGTCAAGTAATGCACTGGTGATACAGAATAGAAACCTAAGTAACCATCCAAAGGAGAATAAAATAATTGACCACTATGGCAGGTATGAAGGAATCTGTTACTACTAAAGTTAAGACAAACACAAAATATTCTGTAATTGCCTCTCAGTTCCTCATGAATAAGGAACTACCAGAAGAACATAGTAGAAACTGACATAGGGGCAGCCACTGAAGAGGAAGGAGTCTATTTTCCCTTATTTCAATTATTGGCATTCTAATACCACATGCCTGTGTCACTTCATGGACTTGTGAATACAATCTTACCTCTTGATCTTAGATAGCCTCCAAATATCTGATAAATGAGGGTGGTGGCCTGAGTGTGTCTATCTAATCTGAAAAAGACAAAACAGTGATTTAAGAATTGTGCTAAATTATAGGTGCTATGACTAGACATTAAAGGGTGCATATTTATAAAACAACAAGCATGTACAAAAGGGAACAATTTAAAAATTAGTCTACATGGTACCCAGAGATCAGACCCACCTGGTGGAACACAGTAAGTATCTGGAGAAGAGGATGGAAGGAACTAAATCATGAAGGGACTTTGAAATCAAGCCAGAAATTAGATTCAGAAGCAAAGCAGCAAGAGGCAGGCAGTCCCAGCGGCCTCGTCACCCGGTGTGGGATGTGAAACAGGGAGGGAAGCAGAGTCTGCCATCATCCAGACCACGCAGGCCTGGACAGTGAGTGGAATGCACAGGGAGGTACCGGTACCAGGGGTGTGGACAGGGGCAGGGGGGTTAGGAACGTTACATAACTGTCTGGCCCATCTCTCTCTTGAGTCTGCATTTAGATTTCAGGAAGAAGCTAGAGGAACTGGTAACTAACAGAGAGGGAGAAACAGAGACAAGAGGCAGGAAACATATTTATAAGGCTGTAGGTCAACAGAGAAAATGTCTGGCTCAATTAGAAAGAAGCAAATACTTTTAGATGGCCAAAGCATGCTGGCACTCAGAAGTTAAGTAATAGCAAAAACAGTATTCATTTACTACCATCTAGAATTTAACAACTTTAAATTGTGATGTTAAGCACATCTTTTTAAATTTTAGACATGGCAAATTATGCAAATCAGGTGGGGAACGGGCAATGCAAAGCCAAAAAGTAAAGTTTCCAACATAAAAGGCAAAATACGTGTGATAAGCCAGAGATGTAATCCGAAGAAATGACTTGTACTCACTCATAGCTGCCCTGTAAGCATGCTTCCTGCATAGCATCAAGAGTGTACTGAAGAAATTCGTGAGCATCTTCTTGGTTTCCAAATTGGAAGTGACTAGCTATACCTAGAAATATTAAGACAAGCCTTTATCATTACATATTAAATGCCTAGGCTTCAAAGTTACACTTTATGTTCCTTAGAAACTGCCAGACATTGTACTGAATAAGAAAGCAGCACTCACACAAACACTACGCACTCTCACCAAAGCCCACAGTATCAGCAGTTCCTGAGAGTCCAGGAGCAGCCACACGGTGAGTCTTGTGTCTTTACCAAGTTGACACAACTCATTTGAATAAAGTCAACCTCAGTTCTATTGACTCAAGTTCATCCAAAATGTGAGGTGAGTGCACCCATTGTGAATATGACACTCGAATCCATAAGAGACCCGATGCAGGACACACATATTCAACCGTATCCTGTACCAATGACCAAGAACAACTTATATTCTCATTTCAGTCATTCTCGATGACTAAGCAGTTGCAAAAATGATTTATGATTTTCAAATTACAAAGAAGACATCAGCACAAATGTACGAATAACAGAAAATCTATTATACCCTGAGTTTTGCATATGTATGAAAATATAGAAATATCCTCTAACTGAAATCATGTAAAATTGCTACTATTTCACCAGTTTGACTGACAAAAATAGCAATTCCACGATTCTACTGTATTTGTATACAAATGAACACATTCAGGACAATGACACTTTTCTAAAGACTAACAGTTGTTACTTATACCTGCTAAAAGTAAATATATAAATAATCAAACAAAAGCTGTTCTGGCATGGCACATGCTAGACCAGTGCTCTATCACTGAGCTGTCTCCAAAGCCCCAATATATTCTCTACCATTTCGATGCTACATGTGGAAGAGTGTAGTGGGGCAAGTTAAGTAAGAAGCAATTGTTCAGAGAAAAGTTTGCAAGTGATTGGACAGAATTGTAAATATGGTGAAGGTACAGAATTGTCTTGGAAGTGAATGACATAGAAAAATAAGAGAAGTGGGCTTGGGATTTAGCTCAGTTGTAAAATATTTGCCTGCGTGTACAAAAAGGAGAAGAGAAGGAAAAGGAGGAGGAGTAAGAGAAGGAAGAGAAGGACAAGGACAAAAACAAGAAGGAGCAGCAGGAGGAGAAGATATTCAACACAGCAATCCGTATTCTTTTTATGTTTTTACCTTAAAGATTGTCTTTTTAAATTTGAGTGTTCATTGATAGCTTATCAATTGATAAAAATCGGTCCTACCTAAATTGTACCAGACTCCAGTATGATCTAAAGATTTCTGTACTGTTCAATCTGCATCACCAATAATGCCAAATCCCTTTTTAATATCTAATGTTTAGCACCTTTTAAGGCAAATGATTACAGTTAACCATTCCATGGTTATGCATCCCTATAATTACCAAGCTAGATGACAGATTAAGAGCCAAAAGTTTTTTTTTTAATTTCTATGCATTTTATTACAACTTAACTAATTACAAAGACAGAAAGGTTAATTTAAAAAGTACACAGAGCCTGGTGTGTTGGTATGAGCCTGTAATCCTAGGCTAATGAGCTAACTCCCTGGCCAACTGGGACTATCTTTATTTTGACAGTTCTTGTCACCTCGTATAAAACAGGATTAATTTACCAAATTAAAATCAATTACAAACCATTTAAAGAAATTTGTGGGCAAGTAGCAGAGACTACTCAGCACAGAAATCCAACTGAGAAATGGCTTCTATAAATGATTTTATTAACAAGCTGAGTTTTACATCATTTAAAATTTGATGATATTAAACTAAGGTCAGCATTGTATTTTTATTATATTTATATTTTTAAATAGTTTATATAGTAAAATTATTACAAAACATGCACTACTAATTAAAGAGATAACCATATACAATGAAAGACATGTTGTTTGTTTTGTTATAAACTTTTGACTTTTTAAAAGTCATCTAGGCCACTATTACTAACTAAAAGTCAGGCATGACTGTGCATATCTGTAGTGCTAGCTACCTGGGAGGCTGATGTGTGCCGTTCACTGGACTAGTGATATCAGCCCTCATCTCAGGAAAACACTAATTGCCAAGAAATACTTCCCCGATTGATACTTACCCTGCAGTTCACTGATCACAGCGATGGGCTTAATAGCATCCCCAGGATGACTGAGTGCCTGGATAATATGTGTCTGCATTATACACATCACACAAAATTCTCCTGCATGGCCTGAAAGATAGATAGCAATGCCTCATATTAGCAAAATGTGACTGGACAGTAAATCATACTTGAAGAGCACATTCCTGAAGTAAAATAAAAGTAGAAGCTGCTATGTGTTTGCATCGACCTGTCTACATTTAGTCCATTTAATTCTCTAAAGAACCCAAATACTAAGTATAGACAGGCTCTATGGGAAAAGTCCTGAGAGGTAAAAGTCTGTCCAAGGTCACACAATCAAAACAACTCATACTTTTCCTAGTTTCAAAGGCTGTGGTCTGACTGATTCTATACAAGAAAAAGAAGAATTTTTTTCCTGTGTTACCAGGAGTTTCAAATGGTGAAAGAATGTCTGCCATAACAGGAGTTAGAAATTTCTACATAAATGTTCTTGCTTTCCTGAGCATAAATTGTGGCCCCAACATGTTGTTCTTCTCAGTCTTTTAAAATGTAAAAAGACAACAAAATTGTGGGCCAGTGAGAGAACCAAGAAGTCAGCCTGCTCTTCCCAAGACCCAACATCAGCCATTTGGGCCAAGAAGAGAACCATAAAGTCTGCCTGCCCTTACCATGAGCCAAAAGCAGCTGTGGGCAGAGAGGAGAACCAAGAAGTCACCCTATGCCTTGCTGTGAACAAGCTGCCCTGTGGGCTAGGAGACAAGTAGAGACTCACCATCCCCTTGGGCGCAGTCAATTGATTTAGAAGAACACAGGCCAAGATGATAGCAATCAAAGTACAAAAACCAACTAATGTTTGTGTTGATTGATAATTTGGAGGCCTAAAGCCAGTAAGATGAGCATCTGTTTAGAGGAAGACAATATACACTGTAGGAACTATGGGGGATCTCCTTCTGTCTTTTACTGAAAATCCAATATTGTTCTCACTGTTGTGTTTTGTTCCATTTTATGGTTTTCTTTCATTACTTTCAAAAAATCAATAATTGAAATAAAAATTGCTAAAAACTGATTTCTAGGGGGCTGGAGATATAGCTCAGCAGCATAAGCACCTGCCTTTCAAGCAGGCGGTCATGAGTTCCGTCCCCGTAACCATTAAAAAGGAAAAAAAAAATTGTAAAAAAAAAAAAAAAAAAAAAAAACTGATTTCTAGTTCATGCTATGTGCTCTTACGTGCAACTAGCTGTCAGAGGCCAGGTACACTAAATATCCTACAAAAAACACTATATCTCCTTACAGGAAAAAATTATCTGGCCCCAAAAGACAATAGATTCTGTTTACACAAAAGCTGTTCAGAACTTATCAAATAAAGCTTTAAAAACATTGAAAGGATCAAAATTATTTCTAGCTTTCTACACCCCATAGTATAGCTCAAAAGCATTTAAACAGACTTTCTTAGGTGAAAATATACTCAAGGAGATTAATACCAAATTAGACGTTATAGAACAAAACATTAGTGAATTTGAAGACACTCATTATGAATAGAAAGTAGCCTATTACACTGGCTGTCTTGGTTACTTTTCTCTCATTGTTAAGACAAAATACCTGACACCCAAAGTGAAGCAAACAAAGGTATATTTAGCATACATTTTTTGGAGGTTTCAGTCCATACTCACCTGGCTCCAAAGCAGGGTGGTGTGGCTGAGGAGCAGCTGTTCGTGGTGGCCACAAGCGACAAGAATGAAAGAGCAAAAGTGGGAGGCATGACTCTTTCCCTCCCTTATACTGTATGCTGGCTACCCACCACTGGTCGGTTCAGCACTCACACCACCAATTCCCACCCTGCACAGTGAACCAATCACAAACACTAGATTCAGTCACCTCCATTCCTGCATGAAGTTTGGGGGGGTAGCAGGTAAACAAATCAGAAGAATGGTTAACTCCTATCCATAATAACACACAAAGAGGGAAAAGAAACCTTAAAATAACTATAATAAAAGGGAAGTGTATCAGTGAGCTGAGGGACAATATCAAGTTGCCCATGATATGCACTTAACTGAAGTATGAAAGTAACAGAATGGAACAAATACATCAAGAAATAATTATCGACAAAAGCACAGTACAAGGAACATTTTTAAGTACAAGTCATGAAATGATTGTATATTCTGAGAGACAAGAGGTGGTGGTTTACCTAAATATGATACATGTGTTTAAATTTAAAGAACTTTGCACACAAAAAGTTTATTTTATTCTGGGAAGTATTTGCTGTTTTCTAAAAGTCCAAAAGTTGTTCCAATTTCATGGAAATAGTACATATACATTTTTTAAAACCTCAAGAAACTCCAAGTAGAACTGCTCAAGACAAGTGATAAAGACTTGAAAACAACTAGAAAAAAAAGCATTCCATATATAGACAGGAAGAATGGAAAACTGGTGACAGACTTCTTGTCAGAAACAGCACAGACCTCCAGTTCATGCAATAACATCTTTCAAGTATTAAAAAATAATAAGACTTCAACATCTTTCACAAAGGTGAGATTTGCACATCTGGGGATATGAAACAGGAGTAGTTTCTCCTGTTCTTCCTGCCATATATGACGACAAAAACATCCTTGGAATTGGAAATGTGTTTTTAACGAATACATAATGACTCTGAGAAGCACAGAGAAAGAGACACACACTGGGGACCTTGGGACACTGGCAAGCCATGATAGTGGTTTCTCTAGGTTTCTTTGTGTCTCCAATACTGCAGACTTGGAGCTGAAGTAGACACCAACAGAAAAACACCAACAAATGCACAGAACAAAGCCTGTTCCATCCAAGTAAATGAGCAGAGACAGCCTGGCCTTGTATAAATGGGAAGACAACTTTAGAAAACATTCTGAACCATGTCCTGTGTGTGTGTACACATTCTCCCCAAATATTATGATAAAAATAATAGTCTTTGGGCACACCTTTAAAATCCTTTCTGGCTAGGAAGACCCTCCCTCTCCCAATTTCTAGAGACAAGGAATGGCTCAGACAGGAGTGTACCCTTGCTCAGCAAACTCAACAGTCCAAAAAATGTCCCTTTCTGTCTGGCCTGTCTACACAGGTGGCAGCATTATGCCGCAGTAATCATCCCATGATGAGGTCCAAGGCAAGTAAGGACCTTGCCTGCAGCTTGGAGCCCACTGAAACTATTCGAATGGGCCAGTGCAAAGATTCACCCTGCCCTGCTTTGTCTTGCCTGTGGAAACCTCAGTGTATGTTCTGCTCTAATGCTTTCCCCTCTCATTCCTGTCTTCTACCTCGTGACCACTCCGGTGTCTTTCCCAGGTACCCCTATGCAGCAAGCCAAGCCTCCAGTATTCAGGACCCATAAGTACACTAAAATGCATTTTTCTTCAGCCTCTCCTAAAGCTGTTCCTAACTGACCATTAGGTAAAATACCAGGCACATTATCCAGAGCAACTATGACTCCACCTCTACCATCACCTGCAGATGCCAAGTGCAGAGCCTGGACTTCACTTGCCAGGCTCTGAGGCACTCAGCCCACTCCCCAGGACAGATCTATGGGAAGTGGATTAGGAGCTGGAGCTTTCCTCAAAGTGGGTTCCCCCAGCCCCATGCAAGCCTGTACATCCATCCCCACCCAGTAACACATAGGTGCCCCCTCTTACCCTACCCCTCAGGGTTAAATAGTTCAAAGCTACTCCCACTGCAGGATCAGTGGGGACCACCCTCACCTCAAAGCATCAGGGACCCCAAGCCCCACTCAGCCAATGGAAGCTGAAAGGAGAACCTGGATTTGGCCTCAGCCTACCCTCCCTTCCTGGGCCTGAGCAGTGTCAGGAAAGCTGGATAAAGCACAGCTTAGAGAGGACCCGGGGTCCCCTATTGTTATGTAAAGAACCCCAGGTTTCAAATTAAAAAATCCTTCATAAAGAACAAAAAATTCCTCAAACAAAAATTATAATACTTCCTGACCTGACTCTAAGTGTAAGTAGGAAATATATTTAAAACAACTATAACATAAGAGAAAGTAAAAGGGACAAAAAGAGACAATGTTTCTAAATAACACTCAAGCTCATAACATGATAATACCAGAAGACCAATAAATTATGTATTTATATATATATATATATATATATATATATATATATATATATGGTCATACATAGAGTAACAGAAGCAGATATACTCTAAAAAACCATGTAAATAAAAATGGAATTCTAAAAATTGTCCAGTAACCCAAACAGAGCAAAAGGGAAGAAGAAACGAAGGAAAAGGAGAACAAATAATAAAACAGAACATAAAGTGGCACACTGAGCCTTGGTGTATCAGTGATCATATTAACTCTAATGTCTACATAAACTGGTTAATTAGACATGCGCGGTATGCACACATGTAATTTCAGGACTCTGGGTGGCTGCACCCGAAGGACCACAAATCCGAGCCCAGCCTGGACAATTTAGCAAGACCCTGTTTCAAAATAAAAAGTGAAAAGCAGGCTGGGTATATAGCTTAGTGCAAAGGCTGTGGGTTCAACTTAAAAATTAAATTAACAAATAAAGAATTGGCACAGATTGACAAAACAGTCAAAGATTTAAAAATATATGATCTACCACATGCTGTCTATAACTCACCAAACTCAAATGTCATGCTACAGGTAAGCTAAGGATCAAAGGGTGGAAAAGAAACAGTATGTCTCTATTACTCAAAAATGTCTATGTTACTATCAGATAAAGATGCACTACAGACCCAAAGCACTGGATTCAATATCCAACACTGAATAAATAAATAAATACTGACACAAATGGACACAATGGAGAAACAGAGGGCAATTCATATTTTACACAAATAATGCTTTCTCTATTTATGTAGCAATGCATTGAGACAACAGCAATCCTGCAAGATGTGGTTGCACATGCCTGTGATTCCAGTGAACTGGGAAGCTGAGGCAGGAGAATTACAAATTCAAGCCCATTCTGTGACAGAGATAGAGACAAAGACCAATTTTATATGTGTTTATACCAAAAAACACTGCTGAAAATTATATGAATCAAACTCAAATGTGAGAGGTGACAGAGGAACACCTACATTTAGAGATGGAAACCCCAACATCTTCCTGTGAGTGACTCCCTGAATAATTCAACAGAAAATCACAAAGCGTACTGAAAAATTCAACAATATTCTCAGTCACGACACCAAATCAATCACCATTTACAGAACACTGCATCCACGAAGAACAGACTTTTAGAGAACTCGAAAACTTAAGTTTCTCCAATCACAATGGAATCAATACTAAACATCACGAAAAGATAGATCATCTCCAAATAACTGGAAACTGAAGACATTTAATCCACAAATCAAAGAATAAATAAAGGGAAGTGGAAACATACACTACGTGGAATAAAAATAAACTGGGGGGCACAAAACCGGGCTGAGGGGAATTTACAACAATTACTAAAATCAGGAATGAAACTGGGGATACTATTATACTACAAGCCTTAAAACATTGAAAGGATAATAAATACTATAGAAATTTTCACACATAAATTTAGAAGAAATGGACCAATTTCTCACAAAAGTAACTACCACAATTCGCCCATTGTAACTGATTTTTCTGCCCTGTAGTGTAATGATGGAGCCCTCAAATGCTAAGAGGAAAGCTCTGTGTGAATTCCACTAGACTGGGGCAGTGGTGAAAGGTCTTCTCTTTGCCTGAAGATGCATGAAGCCTTCCAGTGAATGGCACAGTGGCAGGATCTGATCCTTTGCCCCAACTGTTAATGTCAGACAGTGGGTGACATTGCCAACTAAGGGAAGAGCTGGAGGTGGAGCTCAGGGGTAGAGCATCTGCCTGACATGCTGATCCCCAGCACAAGAAAAACAAAAACATTTTTAACAAGTGTAGAAAACTTCAGAGGAGATTAGAAATGCCAAGTAATGATAAAATAAGGTTTTTCTGAACACCATCCCCATGGACGATAGTTATAGTTCAGAGGCATAAGCACCTGGCTGACAAGCACAAGGTCCTAAGTATGATTCCCAGTACTAAAATAAATAAACACCCAACCCAGCTCAAATCACATACAAAATGCTTCTTATGTGGCCTAACTAAAAATCCTAGACTCTAAAGGATAAACCAACTCCTTTTTTTTTTTTTGTTTTGTTTTTTGGCACTCTAGGGATTGAACTCAGGACCACTGAGCTAAATCCGGAGCCCTACCAACTTCTTATTGATTACATAACAACTTAATCCATCTCATTTCTGAGGAAAAAATGACTAGCTTAGCATACCACAGCTTAGCATACCACATTCACATAACACCACAGCATACAGCACTTACATGTCTTGGTGTGTTCACGTGATAACATGTAATTGGCGAGAGGTGGCGTGTACGTCAAACACTGCAGGGCCGCATTGACAAAACAGGTGTTACCCAGATTCTGCAGCCCAGCGCCAACTCTGTGACTTTGCTGCCACTTAAGACAAATCTTCTCTGGCGGAAAAAGAATTTTCTGTGGTAGAGGAATGCCATCACCTAGGGATACAGCAATAAACAGCAAACATTATAAAACAAAATTGGCATGCTTCTAAACTCAAAGAAATAGTGATTCCTGATCATACTTCTAAATCTCATTTCAAGGCAAACAGGGATACTTTAAAAAGACACAACCTAGAAAATGAGAAGCTAAACGATTTAATTGCTTCAATAAATAAATTAAAAACACAAGAAATGGGTACGCTTCCCAATTAGAAGACATTTCATAGACATACCGAAACATGCAAAGTGCAGACTCCACGAGGATGTTGCTTTCAGTGACTGAGTACTGAAAACAAACTCTGCAGCTCTGCATGATAGTGCACCCCTGTAACTCCAGCTACTCAAGAGAGTGAAGCAGGAGGATTGCAAGTTTTAGGCCAGTGTGGACATTTTATTGAGTTAGCAAGATCCTGTCTGAAAATAAAGTAAAAATAAAAATAAAAATACCTCAGGACTTCCCAGGTATAATCCGTGGTAATCTAGTACTGAAAACAAATTATGTGAGAACCACAGATGCCTAAATATTAACTAGATTTTTAAAATTATTATTTCTTAAAAATAATCCTATGTGTACACAAACTAAAACTGTTATAAATTAAATATGAAATATTGGACTTTTGGTTTCAGTATTGGGGACTGAACACTTGACTTTGTGCTTCCCAGGCAGGCGACTATGCCCCTAAGCTAAATCCCTGGCCCCATATTGGACTTCTTTACAATACTGCATACAGGGTCAGCGGGTGAGTTGGCCATACGTTAATAAATGTCAAAACTGGGAGGAAACTTCATGACAGTTCATTAGAATGACTTTTTATCGCTGCTTAACACAATCAGTACAATACACAAGATACACCAACACCCTGGGACACTGGTCTTGGATGCTTGCATTCCGTGCCACCACCATTCCTACCATCATGTCACTGAGCCTTCCCTGGAATCTCATGTTTTAATTCTGAAGGTTGCTATGACAAAGAAACAACTTACCACACTAGGAAAATTCAAAATCACCAGGATAACTGGTTTCTCAGTGCTAATGAAGGCAAAGATGGCCTACAGGTTGCTCTCTACCTGAAGTGATGTTAATGATTATTTAAGTAGGCCATGGCTTGAGAGGGAATAGAGAACAAAATTCGGAAAGGAAAAATGAGTCTGTTGAGAACAACATAAGGGTCCTAAAAAGGGGGAGTGTGAAGAGAGAAAGGGAAGCCCCAGCAATATGACAAGTGTGAAAGCCTTGCAGAAAAATGTCCTGTGGGAAAGTCTTGATGGCAAAGCTCAAGGCCTTGAAGTTCTACGTTTAACTTCAGATTAAGTTGTCTTCTGAGTTGTAAGCCTCCCCTCGTACACAGTCAGAACACCTTGAACAAACCACAGCACACATCCCCACACCACAATATCAAGGTTACTAGAGGACTCTAAACAAGACAAGGATCAAATTATCCTAAGCTGGACAACATTCCAATTATGAACTAATTCTACTGTTGCTTTTCTTTGCATTTCAAACTGTCAGGGCTTTCAGGCTGAAAAGTACCCATTGAAAGAGCCAATGTTTCATTATCTGGATAAATTTTAACAAACATAACTGTGTTTAACTTATCTGCTCTTTTCCAAAGACAGACACTGTACCTACCTAGGGAGCATAATAACTACTGGTTAACTGAAAACATAAGAAAACTTACTCACCTCCGCTCTCCTGAACATAGTTTACCCTTTAAAAATTAGGAATAAAACCAATGATACATATCTGAATAACTAAAATTAGTACCTTGCTGTGATACCTATGCTAATAAGGAATGCTTACATGTTAGAGGAAAATAATTTCTACCTTCGAATGCTAGTCATCCATGTGGGAATCTCTCTCACACAACAAGACACTCTCTGAAACTACCAACTGCCTGCAGCATTTATACAAAGATTCTGGCAGTGATTTTTCAATATTTTTAGAAAACAGTATCTTCCCTGGTCCTTTGGTGGTGATGGCTCTGACTTACCAGCAACAGTCGACTCTGAATAAACAGCACCCAGTACCGGTCGTAAAGAAAGTGTGTGAATGGAAACATCACTCAGTGATGAAGACTCAGCGCTCTGGTCAGCAGAGCCTGCACCCAGGTCTGCAGTGCTGGCTGCCTCAGAATGGCCGCGCTGATTCCGATGGTCCGACGAGTCTGAAGAGTCAGTTCTGTCCACGATGGTCATCGCTCAACTCTGCAAAAGTCTAAAAGCGTACATTTCTCTCCTAAAGTAAATGTATTGTACTCACCCTTGACATTAGATTTTTGAATATTTTCTAGCCATTTTATATTAGTTTCAAACAAATTATCCAAGTATAAAAAGACTAGTAATTTCTATCTTCTTTTCTTTTTCCCAAGCCCTAGAGATTAAACCTAGGGTCTCACTCAACCACTGAACAATATCCTCAGCCTCAACATTATAAGTTTACATATAATTTTGAAGAAATATGTCTTGACTACATGAAGAGGAAAATGAACATTGCTTCTGAAATTAAATTCCAGCTTAAGAACAGGGCGTGGGCTGAGGATTTAGCTCAGCGGCATAAGCACCTGCCTTGCAAGCAGGAGGTCGTGAGTTCGATCCCCGGTACCGATAAAAATGAAAAAAGACCAAAAAATAAATAAAAAACAGAACAGGGCGTGATGGTGCACATCAATAATAGAAGCCACAAGGAAGTTGGGTCAGGAAAATCTCAAGTCTGAAGCCACCCTGAGCTTCATAAGGAGTTCAAGGCCAGCCTGGACTAGGTAGCAAGACCCTGTGTCAAAATAAAGGACAAAGCAGCATTACATGAAAAGCATAGCAGTCTAAAGAAATGATGATTCTAGAAAGTCTTATCTTTCAAACACACATGTTTGTCTCTGAATCAAATTTCAACACAAATACATGTTCCAAAGTACTTAATTGCAGTTTTCTCTCTGATATGGTGTAAAAGTTACTGAGTATTACTCAGCTAGCATTGCAATAATTGATGGACAAACATTAACTTTCATAGGAAACCACAAAGAGCAGACAATAATCCACAGGATCTACAGTGAGGTGATTATAGCACAAAGCAGTCAGCAACTGAGAACAGGAGCAACCAGGCCTCCTCCTAGCTCGACCACCTATGCAACAGAGCACTTTTAGTGATGCCTCAATAATTGCCCAGCAGCCAAATCCAGGTGTGCTGTTACCCACAGAAAACCCTTCAGGAGTGCCCTTGCAGCCACGCACAGCGCCTACTCCTAACACTCAGAGCTAGTAACCACGCCTTCTCCTAACACTCTGAGCTGGTGGTAACCTCCGATGCTTCCCAGGTTATGTTCCCACCATACTGAGTCCCTATTTAGTCCCAGCTCTCCATGGACCATGCACATGCTCCTCTTTCTTACCTGCTTTCCTTCCTGTCCTTCAGCCACCAGCTCATAAACATTTCTAGTCGGTTTCCAATTTATCTTTTCTAGCCAGGGATTTAACTAAGCAGCATAAGCGCCTGCCTTGCAAAAATTCTGTCCTCAGATTGATCCCCAGTTTAAAAAAGGTATTCCCCTCCCTGGGACACTTTCCTGCACTACTCCTTTCCCCTAAGGTTGAGATAGAAAGCTCTCCTCAAAGCTTGTCCTCCCCTCCCTGCAGCTGGCTGATTCCTATGGCGGCTCCTCAGCATTTACTCTGTAGCTCTTTTACCTGATGACAACCAAGTCAAAATATCTTTAAGGCAGGCTCTAATCCAGTGATGGTTTTTTCCAAGGGGAAGGGAAATTGGACACAGGACCACAGGGGACAAATCCATGTGAAGATCAAGAAAGAAGTCAAAGTGAGACATCTCTGGGCTTGAGTGTGTCAATGGTGATCATTAGTTTCCATCTTTATGTTGTTTAGACATCTCCAGCAATGTGTTCGCCTGAGAGAAATTCTCTCCCCTCTGCGAAGCTGATTTCTGGCTAGTAAAGGCCCACTCAAAACACGAGTTTCCTATAAAAACCAACCCTGTGTCTGATCTCAATGACTTATTTATCTACCTATTTCTCTAATATTTACTCTGCTCTAAAACACCCGGGCCCAGGTGCAAACATCTAGAGACTGTCCAACACCCAAAGCCCAGTGAAATTATTGCAGCCTTCCATATGTAGCTCCCTGACCTTCCCTGACTTCTAACTCCTCCAAAATCCCATAAAATTGATTCAGGTTCCCCACATTCACGTCTTCTGTCATGTAACACACACCACGTGCTTCTGCTTGTTTCAGCCTGGTATGTGGAACCTCCTGTCTGACACCATGTGTTACAGAAATGTCTTCCTCTCAATGCTCATTCTTGTCTCATCTTAATGAAACACAATCTCTCCTGATCCTATCTGTATGGTTAGACTCTTAGAACACTGTAGATTTCATGGAGCTAGGCTTGAGAGAAGAGGGAGAGAAGCCAAGTCACTGACCCAAGAAGTTAGTGAAAAAACCTGCAGATTCCAAAGAATTCCAGGGATGAAGGCACTGAGGGGACCCTGCTCAGTTAGATCAGAAGATCTCTGACCTAAGAGTAGGTATCCATCAGTAGTGATGGCAACAGAAATTCCTAGTAGCAAAGATGGGGAACTGTCACTGGGAAGAGTCATTTATGCCAGCTAACACTTGAGAGACGACTACCACCCTCCTCAATGTTCAGACAGGCCATTGACTACTCTCCACAGGACTATGGAGTCATGCCATGACTGCCTTCTATTTCACAAGCTACAGGTGAATTGCATGGCTCAAAATCCAACACTCGGTATACTTACAACACACATTCTTCACAGGGAAGGATTTTCTAAGAAAATGGACTCAGCCCTGGATATGGTTAAGGGGCTGGGTGTGTGCAGTTCTGGGTGGTGCAACTCCAGGTGCTGTGGCAGGGGGTAGGGGGCAATGGGTCCAGTTCATGTCAGGAGCTGAGCAATGGAAAGCTGTCACAGAGAGATAACTGGCTCTGTCCCCTTCAGGGGAAAACCACGGTTTGGTTAGAGGAGTATACTCTATAAAGAAGACCCAGTCCCACTGTTAAGTTAGCTATCATTTCCTTCTTTTGAATGCATTCAATCCCATTCACCAAGGCTTTTCCCCACTGATTGATACTTCCCCTTGGTCATCCTTGGCACGGGTAATCTCCTCTCTGAGACCTGTAAGTATCAAAAGTCTCCCTTCCAAGACTCTTTCTTGTCCCCTCCTAGACCTGCAGACTCCTTCTCATCCTGTCTCCAACCTCTACACTGGTAGAACGCTGCAGGTGCCACAGACTGCAGTGATAAGAACACAGGGGAAAAGCTAAGCCAAGCGTCCGACTCACCTTCAGGAGTTGACGACAAAATCTGCACCTCCACGAGAACCTCCCTCTACAGGGAGACTCAAGGGGGTGGCCCCGCAGGGCCCTGACCACCAGGCTCACAGACCCTCTGACCTAGGATTGGCTGTTGGTCAGTGGTATGGCAGCAGTCACTTCCTAGGAGCAAAAGTGAAGGATGGTCATTAGCAAAAGATATGCGTGCCAGCTAACACTGGACAGATGAGGGTTTCCCCGGCCCCTCTCCTCGGTGTTTTGGACACGCCCTTTTCTGTTCTGCACAGAACTATGCAGTAGGCACCACTAATACAGTATTTCACTTGTACAAAATAAATGTCAAGTAGATTTCACACAGTGTAGCAATTAGTGTCAAAGTGCAAGTTCTTTTCAGTACTCTGAGTGGTTGGAAGGATTTCCTAGGTAAATAGGCTCAGCCCTGAAAAATGTCGAAGGAGCAGAGTACAGATCCTGCTAGAATGAGCCCCCAGGTGCTGTGGGGAGATGTTGGTCAATGTGGAACTAACTCACCTCAGTAGCTGAGAAAACAGAAGTTACCAGTAAGAGAGGCCGTCAGGCAAGAACTATGCCTTGGGTCAAGATAGGTTACTCCTGTATGGAAAGAGAGCAGTGCAGGTTAGCTACTGGTGCATTTACTACTATTCCTTGTGAAATTACACTGAGTACCTATGTTACCTTTTGAGTTTTTTACATTAATAAAGAGACCTGCTATGATTCAGTGGTGAAGATGCTAAACTGACCACAGAATATCAGATTTGAAGAATTATGTTACATCATGTTATATTAGCAGACTTTACTCAAAATACATTTTCATGTGGACTACAAACTAAAGATACAATGAAAATGTAAGAAATTTTTATATGACAACAAAACCATTAAATCTCCTGCTTTACTGTGGTATGTGCCTATTTAAATGAATACAAGATGAACACATGGATGGAAATTAATACAATACATGCTAGACTAATATACATGAAGCTGCCTTCAGTGCAGAGGGAAGGAAAGGGGTTTTAGGGATTGACAAGTCACAGAGGGGCTGGAGGAATGTAGTCACTAAAGAACTATCTATGTGTTTTTATAGTAAAATTGAATTTTAAGTGTTGCCTTAAAATGACATCATTTTTGTTTTGTTTTGTTTTTTTCCTCTTTATCAGTACCGGGGATTGAAATCACGACTGCCCACTTACAAGGCAGGCGCATATGCCACTGAGCTAAATCCCAGCCCCTTAAAATGTCTTCATTTATTGATCATCCACTCTTATACATGGTATTTAAACACTTCCAGAAATTAAATTCATTATTAAGGTGTAAAGATTATGAGATATGAACACAAAACCTCCTCAGGGAAGGCTAAAGAGAATTTTGAAAGGAATTTTAAACATGACATCCTGCAATCCCAGTAGTCAGGAAGAAGAGGCAGGAGGATGGCCATGAGCTTAAGGCCAGGCTACACTACATAGTGAGTCCAAGGCCAGTCAGTACACAGTGAGACCCAGTCCCAGAATACAAAGGAAAAGAAAATAAAAAGAAAATTTAGTAGGACTCTGTACTGTAGTATAAAACAAGGGAACTTTACAGAAGAAACCAAATGGGACCTGGCCATGGTCTAGGGCTACATTACACATCACACATTCACACCTGCTGGACACTGAGAAGCACTAAGTTACATCCCAGACATTTTCAAATATGCATCTGCATATTTTCACCCGAAGTACTCTGTAAAATTCCATGTAAAATGCTGGTTACTAGGTAGAAGGCCTAAATTTCTAGTTTATTTATAAGGATAAAATATGTTTTAGGAGACAGGGGTTCAGTACACAGTCCAGCATGCCCAGAACTCAATGTGAAGCAAAGGAATAACCTGAACCCCTAATTCTTGAACCCCTGAACTACTACCTCTATCTCCTCTAAGGCTTTTCACCTTACTAACCCTTGTGAAAGATTTATCAAAGTATTTTACCTTATGGTTTTTCCACCTTATGTAAAAATATCTCAAGCTGTGGATGGTGTCCCACACGTGTTCTCTGAGCTACTCCAGAGGCACAGGCAGGAGAGTGGCAAGTTCTTGACCAGCCTGGGAAGCACATTGGGAGACCCCACCTCTTTGTCAAACAGAAGCAGCGCTGGCTGCATAGCTCAGGGAAAGAGTGCCTCTAGGATTAATCCTCAGTAGCTCCCACAACCAAGGAAAAGTTTTAAATGTTTAAAAGAGGACAAAATGTCATAAAATACATACTCTCACTATATAGATATTGAGGCCTCAAAAACAAAGTGTTAGTCTCGATGCTCAAATGGGAGCCCTCAACTCTCGTCATCAGTAACCACCAGAAATCACCATTAAAAGTATGTTAGTTCACTAAGATAAATCAAGAGCCAGGATTGGTTTGACTTACTCACTTTTGTGGATATAAAAGAGAAACTAGAAAGAGCTGTGCTCACCTCAACAGACCCTCAGCCTCTGAGACCGACTGTCACTGTTAAGAAGACTCTGGCAGTTGAGGAACCTCATGCCAGTGACAACACAAGTGTTGCTTGGCAGCCATGCAAATGAGCCAGTTTCTCACTCCCCATTGGCTAGGCCACTCCTCACTCTAACTACATGGTCGAGATCTACTCTAACATGTGCCGACATTTTCCTCCAGTTGCTGAGGTGTAGCATTAGCTCTGTAACTTGGTGGTTCTGTTTAGTCCTGAGGTGATTCAAGGCTTCAAGTCATTTCTGGGTCCCAGTGGGGATGAGAGTCTTCCTGTTGGCAGATACAGCTCTCCCTACTGGGGACCAGAAGAGGTAAGGAGGAGCAGGAACAAGATGGAAGCCCAAGTCTTTTAAACTCATCTTGAAAGTCAAATACCTTGAAGTCTACCTACTACCATTTCCAAAACCATTTCATTACTAATCACAATGTACCTGCAGTGTACTCAGAACCCTTATTAGGGAGGAAGTAATCTGAGGCACTGCATGCAAAATGGAGTCTCAGTGCCACACAGGGATCATTTTGTTCATAGGAACAAGCAGTAGTGAAGGGCAAAAATGCATTTCACTGGAGATATTATATACTAAAAAACACTACAGTATCCTCATCAATCAGGGCATTCATCCATTCAATGCAGACAGTGATTTTTATAATCATTGTCTGGTCTTCACACACTCTATATTAATTCTGTAGTAATTTGGACATTTAATTTCATTTCTCTTTCATTTCATTTTTAAATTTTCTGTGCTACATGGAAGAAAAAGAAGTTTAAGTTGTCAATTTTGAAGGCAAAATATGGGTGAACTCTGAGTGGTGAATTCCTGGCAGAAAAAACTTCCTGCAGGACTGCTAAGTTCATGAGTTTAGAAAGTGTCTGAACTAATGGGCCTCACAGAAGAAATCTACTATTCAAAAATCCTTTGTTGGAAGATGTAATCAAAATAGCTGGGGCTGAACAGAAATACACTAATCATAAGGTCACGTGAAATATCTAAGCATGAACATCTGCTTCTCAAAAGGTCCTGGAGGATCTGCTTTATACAGCCAAGTAAGCACACAGGTGGCTTCTGGAAAGATTGTCCCCTCCCCGGACTCGCGCAGTGGTGAGCTGTGGAAGGCCCCTGTGGGCTAGGAAATCATTCCTTATGGTGGGCGCCCGGGTGCCACCCTGCCGGCACCATCTTCCCCTCACAGTAGACTGACCACAGCCACACTCTCACTGCTTTTCCCTCCTTCGAGTCAGTTCTTTAAATCGAGGCAAATGAACCCATTTCTCACATGCTACATAAGGAATCCAGCACTTTCCATGAGCTAGTCAAGTGGTCTGCCACTAAGTTATCCCCAGACTTTCTAGACAAAACAGTTTTAAATTGTGAGGTAGGATCTTTCCAAATTGCCCATGTTTCATTGCCTTCCTCCTGCCTCAGCTTCTGGCATAGCTAGGGTAATGACACGGATGACTTTACCTGGACACATCATAACACAAGTGACAGTTTAGAAGAAGCCTCTGCAGACACTTTTACCCTGGGTTGTTCCCTATGTCTTCCCTCCCATACTTACTTTATATGTCAGTGTTTCTTTATGATGCTTTCCCTTTTTTGTCTCATTCCTTCTTTCTATCATTCTTTCTATCTGTGCTTTTCCTGTCGTTTGGTGCTGGGAATCTCAGCTAGAGCCTCAACCATATCACTGTTCATTTTCTCTTTCAAAATGACTACCCAGGTCTGTATTAAACAGTATTCTAGATGTTTATACGAAGGTGTCCAAACTCAAATGCTAAGGACTTAAGGAACCACATTCTGGAGTGGTGGCACGGCTCAGTGCAAGAGCAGCTGCCTGGCATCCAACAGTCCCAGACTGACAGCACCAACCAAGGCAAAACTGAAAAAAATTGAGTCCTTTTCTGACTGAAGTGGTGCGCATGACCAGACAGGGCAGCACAGGCCTACAATAATAATTCCTCAGGAGCCAGAGGTAAGAGCACGCAGTCTTTAAGTTCATCGGGGCAACTTAGCAGGGCCTTGTGTCTCATTACAATCAAAAGTGCTGTGGAGGTAACCCAGCACTTTGTATTAAGCTTAAACCACCATGTGAGTGTGGTGCTGGTGGAGGAGCCCACTCCATTCATAAGGGTGTCATGGATCACATAAGGATGTCATGGATCACAGAGAATCTCTTTGGAATTAAACAATTTTCTTGTAGTGTGAAGATTAACACTAGTTTACCAGTAAAATGCAATTATCCCACAAGGACACCTTGTGAGAATTTCTCTGTTGGATGTTCACATGGTAAAAAGTCTGGTCTCTAAGGCACTGAACTCTTTCTCCTGAAACAGACTGATTTGCGTTTGCCTGATGTTGGCTCTGCAAATCAGGGAGTCAAAAAAGGAGTTCATGACATAGAAGGCCTCTTTTGCCTGAAGCTGCTTATAGAAAGCAGCTCTGCAGCTAGAGACACCCAGAAATGGGAGGAGGTGGGGGAAACAGGATGGGTGTGGGCCACAGCATGGGAGGGAGCTTTTCACATGGTGTATTTCATGATATGCAGATGTCTCTCTCTAGCCTGGGACGTATGCTCTTCCCGGGGGGCAGGCAGTCATTCCTCACTCCACAGATCCCACAGGAGGCAGATGTTTCCTGTGCAGAGCAACCTTCCCTGAGGCTGACTCCCAACACCTTCGCCTGCTAACTCCCTCCCAGCACACATGACCGATGCTCGAAATCACCCAAAACCAAACTGCCAACGACCCCCACAGTCACTACCTGATGGAGTTACTGCAGGTTTCCATTTCTGACCTGATGATGACTGGGGTCTAGATTGTTTTCCTTCAGCCCAACAGCAGCTCTGACCTAGTCCTGCCCTCTCCTCTTCAGACATGAGTCTTTCATGAGGGGCCTAAGTCAGCTCTACCTGGCATGAGTAACCCCTGCTCTGAGACTTGGAAGTGCATAAATATCTTCCTTTCAAGATTCATTCTAGCCCCATTCTGGGCAGGCAAACATTTCCACCCTACCTTTAAAATCTACTCTCCTAGAATGCAGCAGGTCTCATGGACCAAGATGAGAAAACAGGACAGCAGGAAAGTCAAGTGTCTCACTCACCTTATTGACCTGATGACAATAATTACAACTACACAAAAACCTTCCTCAAGGGGGACATTTGAGGGGTTAAGTTCCATTCAGGGGCTGCCCACCAGGATCAGAAATGATGTGACCTAAGTTTGGGTGTTAGTCAGTAGCACTGGCAAAAATCACCTCCTAGATCAAAAAGTAAGGGAAATGACATCTCTGCCAGCTAACACTTGAGGGGTGACTATGTCTAAGCACCTCTCCTTGGTGTTTTGGACATGTCATTCACTATTCTCCACAGACTACGAAATTGGCAGCACTAGTATTTCTTTTTTATGGGAGAGATGTGAACTACACCGTTTGTGATCCAACAATTAATGTCAAAGTTTATGTTCTTCATGGGGTTGTGGGTGGGTGGCAGAATTGTCTAGGCATTGGGCTCACCCCTGAGTGATGGTGAAGGACCAGGGTGCAGGGAAGGGTGGTAGGACCCACGGGTGCTCTGGAAAGGATGTTGGAGAATGAGGGGGTGGCTCACCTCACTGTCTGAGGAATACAAAGTAGGCTAAGAGATGGATGCTTCCACGGCCTTAAGGCAAGAAATGTGCCATCGGTCAAGACAGGACACTCCTATCTGCAAAGATGACAGTGCTAGAATTAAGTCTTCCTGGTCTCAACAGGAAGACTCACCAAAGAGTCACAGTATTCCACACCATTTCCTGCAAGTGTACCCTTAAGTACAACAGTTCCATCGAGGCCCCCCAATCCTGTGAGTTACCTGACATCAAACCTGTTTGACAAACCAAGTGCAGAGATATGAGTCTATCTTTAAATGGCTATCCCATCTGTAATATTTACACATACTCTCTCTGAGCGTCCACTTAGTATGGATTTTTGATACCTTATGAATTGCTTCAATAGCAGAGAAACATGATCCAATTCAAAAGATAATAGCTGAATTTACCACAGAATTTCACACTTGTAGAGTTCTGTTGTACTAACACAAAAAGTTCTTCAAACCATATTTCAAATACACAACAAAATAAAGACATCAGAAGTATATCTTTGGTACTTTTTTTAAACAGTAACAAACCTCCCAAATTACCGTCTTATGATAGTGTGTGCCTTCTTCACTGAATGGAAGAAGAGATGCATGGGAATTAATAAAAGAAGTGCTACACTAATGAACATGACGCTAACTTCCGTGAGTAGGGAAGTAGAAGAACCTTAGGGATTGATGTGGGTTGTGGTAAGGTAGAACCTTGTTTTATCCACAGAGCAGTTGGGAGGATGTACTCAGAAGGAAAATGTATATATGAATTGTTTGTATAAGAAAATTGAATTTTAAAGCTTAGCTAAAAATGACATCATGTATTGATCACCCATTCTTCCATATTGCATATGAACAATTCTAGAAATAAAATCCATCATTAAGATTTGAAAATTGGGAAGATATGATCATAAAACATTCTCGGGGAATACTGCAGGAGAACTTTAAATCTGATTTTATACAGGACAATGTTTCACACCTTAGGTAAAAAAAGAAAATGAATGGTACCTGATTATTTTCTGGGCTACATTAGAAGCTCATGTTGACTGGAAGCTGAGAAGCAGTGATCCATAGTCCAGACTTTTTCAGATACAAATCTGAATATTTTCAGTTGAAGTATCTTGTAACCCTCTATGTCAAACATTGGTTACTAGTCTAAAGTTTAAGTTGCTGTTTTCTTTTTAAAGTTACAAAGATACTTTTTGAGCCAGGGTCTCATTACACAGTTCAGATGCTCCAGACGCATGTGTAGCCAGACTGGGTCTTAACTGTCAAAGTTGTGTCAAAGTTTGGTATCTGATTGTTTTGTCTCCCTACACAAAAATATTTCAGGCTGTGAGTGTAGACCCACATATGCCAATCTACAGGAAGACGTGGGAGGATGGCAAGTTTTCTGGCAGCCAGAAAGCACAGAGTGAGACCCTGTCTCCATGTAACACACAAAAAGAGCTGACTCCATACCTCAATGAAAGAATGCTTCTAGGATTCATCGTCAGTACTCTCCACAACCAAATAAATTTGTAAAGTTTTAAAGTAGCACAAAACACCATACTATATATACACACATATATATGGATATATATATTCCCCCTAGCTGTACATTCAGGCCTCAAAACCCAGAGGATAACTCTCCAAGTTCAAATAGGAGCCATCTACTCTTGTGGTCAGTACCCACTGAAATCACCATCAAAAGTATGTTAGTTGGCTAAGATATATCAAGAGACAGATGTAGTTTTACTTATTTAGCTTTGTGGATATGAAGGAGAAAGCAGAAAGAGATGTGCTCACCTCAACAGTCGCTTACCGAGACCAACTGTCACTGTTACTGAGACCCAATCAGTTGAAGGAGCACATGCCAGTGACATCACCATTTTGCTTTGCAGTCATGCAAATGAGATGATTTCTCACTCCCCATTGGCTAGGCCACTCCCAGCATCACCAAATGATTGAGATCTACTTTCTCATGTGCATTACTGCTGCTCCTTCAGCAGATATTTTCCTGTAGGTTGTTTTGTACATTTCTGTTATTTAATTTTACTGGTTGATGTTTGCAGTTCTTGGAGTTTAAAATCCCCTGAGGGGAGATGATCTGTACATAGCACAGACTGCTTCCTCTTTTTGTTTAATCACCCCATGTCCTCCAGTTCCCTTATCTCACTTTTCATTCCTGTTGGTATCACTCATTTATCTGAGGTACTGACTTAGCTCTGTGACTAGGTGCTTCTGACTAGTCTTTTCTGTGGTTGTTCAGGGCTGCAAGTCATACCTGGTTCCACTGCAGGTGGAGAGCTGTGGGCTCCCTGCCTTGTTACAGGCAGCCCCAGCTGCTCCCTATGAAGGCCCACAGAGGCTAGACAGAGAGAAGGAACTAATGGAAGCCACAGTGTCTTCAGTTCATCCTGGAAGCCACATTCTCTGTGCTAATGCCCACAAAGTCCGACCTTAGCACAATGTGAGACCTTGGGGAAGTTAAGCTGGAAGAGGTCCGTGACTGCTATTTGCCTTATGAGCTGCTGGGGATTGAGTGCATGGCCTTTGCCCTGGCTGCCTCCCCAGATCTTTTTACTTCATCTGTTCTGAGGCAGTGAATCCCTGACACTGGTCAAGCTCTACTACACGTGGATGCTCCTGACGCTGTCTCATTGAGTACTGGGATAACACCCAAGCATCACCACCCTGGGTCCTGGCATCTTCCTTGAAGCCTAGCTACCACCAATTCTCAAACCACTTCTTGTATAATTGCTAAGTACACCTCTATGTGCAGAGTTCCAGCAGAGATGAAGGGATTTGGGGCACTACAAACACTGATATGTCTCGAGGACACACAGAGATAATTCCATTTATATCAACTGAATGAGCACTCAGGGAAGAAAAAAAAAAGTGCTCCAAATGAAATCACACCTGAGGCACCTTGTGCAGCATAATTATAGATCAGGTCAGTACTCTTTCGCTAAGACAAGATGATTGTTTTAATGTTGTTGAAATTGGTCCTCATATAACCAAAATAAATGCTGTACTAATGAAGAAAGTCTCAGTCTTTTCATTTCACTTTTTAAAAGAATTTTTTGAACTGTCTGCAGTACTGGAGAATGGATACAGAACTTGCTACATGCTAGGCAAATGACATTGCCACCAAGTTACACCCATAGCCTTTTTCATCTAAGTCTCTGACATTTTCACGGAGGCTATTTTCTTCATTGCCCAGCATTCCTGGGAATTTAGCACCCTCTTGCCTCAGCCTTTGGTGTAGCCAGGGTACAAATGCAGATGACCCACCTGCCACGTCAAAATTCAGCTCAGCAGAAGCCTCTTCAGGGAAATTTCCTGCAGCCACGCAGCCAGAAGAGCTTTCTTTCAGCCTTCTTTCTGTTACTTTCTTTATATTTGTATTTTTTCTGAACTTAATTTTTGTTTTCTCACTCATTTTTTTGTTGTGGTTACACTGAGAGACTGAATTCAATGACTGTTAATTTTCCCTATCAAATTTCTGGATCAGATACTTGATTAAACTGTGTTTTGAATGTTTCCAGAAGAATGTGATTCAGTGAATCAACTTTGATATGAATGGCGTTTCGGGGCACAGTCATCCATGTCCCTCCTCGTACCTGTTTTCAGGCTGAAGATCATCCTGTGAAACCTAGAGGACCTCTGTCTCAAAATATAAAATCAAATAGTAAGGTCAAAAATTCCCCAGATTCTAATCCACAGTACTCCCACTGGGGAAATAAATCAGTGTATCTGAAATCTATATACTAGAAGTAGCTCACTGTGAAAGTAGTCTTACTTAAATACTAGTAAGTGAATAATACTTGAAAAAACTACACGACCCAACTCTCTTGTGCAAATGTGCTAAAGAAAAATGTTCCGTGGCGGGTTCATAGTTCAGTGGTAGCACACGTCCTGAGCACACAGGGTGTCTATTTTTTGTAGCCACAATTGCAAAACCACAAATACCAAGTAAAAAGAACTGAAAGAATGAAGCAGACTTCTGTGTCAGACATGATGGCTGGGGGAAGAAGTTGGAGAGTTGGAGCCCAGGCTACATAGGATAGCCAGGCCCTTGCCTCATACCACCAGCAACAAAAAGTAATTAATAATAAATAGAAAGAAAGGAAGGGAGAGAGAGGTCTGTGTTTTTAGCCAGTGCTCCATAATTCAGGTGCCAGTACCTTGGATTTTGGAGTGTGGAAGGGAGTCTGTATTTGTAAAGATTTAAAATACATTGCAATTGTTCCCCAAGACATTATTTTTGAAACTTAATAAAACGCTCATTGTATAGACTTAAATGAGTTTATAAACACAATGCAGATATTCTTAAAACAGTGTCTTATGACACTGTGGTGAATGCTTACCTGGGCAATAACCCTGTTCACTAATACGTCCAACCCCATTCATGGAAATCCTCCTCCTTCCACTCACCTAGCATTGATTCATGCCAGGGAGGTGGCAGAGGTGTTTGGGCCAAAGCACCCAGGCTCTCAGTGGGCTTCTCAGCATGCAGCAGGCAAGCAATCAGTAACACCCCTGGGGGAAGAGGAGGAGAAACAACTGGATGGTGCAGGTGGAGAGGAGTCAGGGAGTCCCAGTGTCCCCTTCAGCATTACAAACCATAGACTAAATAGGGATGAATGCAGGGCTTTCCCACTGAGCAAAATGCCAAATTGTCTTTTAGAACAAGGTCTCACCCAGTCTCTAAGTTGCCTAGACTGGGCTCACACTTGGGATCATCCGCCTCCGCCTCCCTGAAGGCTGGGATTATAGGCATAGGCTACCAAGCTGGTCCCTTTAGCCTTTCTGTAGGGAAGGTGTATTTCTGATCTAGTTCTTCAGACTTTTTGGCCTGCCTTTCTCTCCCCCTCCCTTAACACTCCCCCGCCGTTCTTCTCTCTGCTCCCCCTCCACCTCCTCTGCTACCTCTGCTGCTTCTTCCTCCCCTTCTTCTTCCTAGGGACGGCACACTGGGCCTTTTACATGCTCTAATGGAGTGACATCACCAGCCCCTCTTAGCACTTTATTTTTCTTTTTTAAGCACTTTATGTCACCTGGCTGGCCTTCGTGGCTTCTGATAAGTAAAGAACAGTTAATAGTGCTCCCTTGCACATTGTAAGTTGCTTGTGGAGCTTTTGAGCACTTCCTGAGGTAACCACGATAAAATGAATATTATGCCTGAGAGATGACTGTGTCCCAGGCATCTCTGCTGAATGTTTTGAATGCACCACTTACTATTTACAGCAGGTAGTGGAGTAGATGCCAATAGAGTTTCCATTTTACAGGTCAGATGTGAAGTACATGGCTCATAATCTCACGATTGGTGTTAAAACCGATTCTTGTCAGTGAGCTGTCCATCCAGGCACTTTCTAGGAAATTGCAAGAGCATAAACAAAAACAGAAACAAAAACAAAAAGAGAGGAAACCTCTGTGGCTAAATTAACTTGCATTACTTAACAAAACGAGGGCTTCCTGCAAAAACCTCCATTTCTAACACACCTGAGTGGACCAGGGAAGTGGAGAACACCAGGATGATTTCTTTGATCTTAGGTTTGCCAATTGGTGCCCGTGCTCAAGTGAACTGTCCTAGAAGAAGTTGCTTATAGTGCAATAAGTAATAAGTACATCATTTTAATCAAATAACTTACAGAAAAAACACACCTTCGCATAAAGTGAACCAGGCTCCACCACGGGATCTCGAGGAGTCTCAGCAAGAAGACAAAGTGTGGGAGGGCTCCCATGAACCACTGATGTAGTTGGTGGGAAACCAGAAGAGCGTCCCTCATCACGCTATAAGCAACTGCCTGATTCAGAGGACGCAGCATGAGATGACAGCAACTTAGCTGAAAGGAATACCTTGATGCTTGAGCTGTTTGGTTGTCTTTGCAGGCCTGTGGCTAGTGGTCTGGGCATCTGTTTGGAGGATGGCAGTGTACACTGTGGCAACTGTGAGAGATTTCCTCTGTCTTGTTTTTTAAATTCACTGTTTTGTTCCATTTTACTGTTTCTTTGATTGTTGTGTCTGGTAACCTGAGCAACTATTTTGAAGATAACAACATGCAGTATAAGAACCATTGTTAAATTCCTGCCACCTTGTTTTGAAGACCTATGTAACTATTGCTGCTTTTTTGTTGTTGTTGCTGTCATTTTGATTTTGTTGTTTTCTTTAGGTTTGTTCGCATCTTGACTTTTTGGAAAATTTCTTTTTTCTCTTGAAAATAACAAACGTGTAACAGATACTATGAATTGGAAAGAAATTGTTCAAAGAAAAGACAAACTGTGATGGGGAAAGTAAGAATAAGTAAAAGGCCAAAATATATGTATACAAAAGATAGTTACAGTACTCATAGAGCTAGTTTCTGTCTGTTCCTTGAAAAGAATGTTTTGCACCAATACTTTGTAGACAAGGTACCATGACTATGTCCTGCACACCTACTACAATAAACCAGTGCTCAGTATATCAAGTATTGTAACTGTCCCACTACCCTATTTTGAAGCTCATATATTCTTCAGTTTTCCCTTTGAAATATATTTTTAAAAAGGTACAAATACCTTTTATCTTGCTACTGTATATTTTATTTCTCTTTAATGTAATCTGTATTAATTACATATATTTACTTATGCTTAGCAACACTATAAGAAACCTGTATGTCTCTAAAAATTAGTACAATAGTTTAATGATTTTATCCTAGGGTTTCTGAACAGAAGATGTGGTGAGTTTCCTCCTGATGGAGCTACTGGTTATAGAAATGTGCTGGATAATCCAAAGTTCCTTTTTTGTAAATATGTCCTTACATCTTTATAGGAAGAATTTCCACTTATTAAAAATAGTGAGCCCAGACCTGTTGAAAATGTCATCAGTGCTTATCTGAGCAGGAAACCATTCATTCACACATTAAACTGGAAGGCTTTTTTCTTAGTGTGTATTCCAAAGAGGGAAATAGGACAGATCAGTTAGGGACACAATGCTTGAGCAATGTGGCTTGGGCCCCGAGGGTTCATTGATCTGAAAATGAGCAGTAATGATCCAGGTGACATAGGACTGAATAATTCTGACAGTTTTTTAACAGGGCATTAAACGAGGAATGCTTATATACATTTACATGTACGTGTGTATGTATTTCTACACATAAATTTTATACATTCAGAAATAAATGCAGATATAAAATAATAACATATGGTATTCCTAATAAACATAGATAAAAATTTCTCAATAAGACACTGGCAAAGAGAATGCAGCAAGTCATCGAGATTATAAACCATGATCAAGTGAGATTCATTCTAGGGATGCAGGGATAGTTCAACATATGTAAATCAACAAACATCATGTGTCATAATAACAGAGCCAAAAACAAAAATCATGATCATCTCAATAGTTGTGGAAAAAGCTTTTAACAAAGTCCAGCACCCATTCATGTTAAGAACCCTACAGAAAATTGCAGTAGATGCCTTTGTCTCAGTCCATAAAAGCCATCTATCACAAATCACTAGCCAAATTCATGCTAAATGGACAAAAACTGAAAACTACTTCTCTAAAATAAGGAACACAACAAGGATGTCCACTGTCTCCACTTTGTTCAAGAGTCCTAGAAACTTCACTGGAGCAATTAGAGAAGAGAAAAATTTAAAAGGAATAAGGATAGGAAAAAAAGAAGTCAAACCGTCATTGTTTGCAGATGACATGGTACTCTACTTAGGAGATCCCAAGACCTTGACTAAAAAACTGGTAGATTTAATAACCTAACTCAGTAATGTAACTGGATACAAAGTCAGCACAGACCCATATCTATCACTATGCACTAAAGTCAAAATGGATCAAAGATCTGAATATGAAAACAGAAACATTAAATCTGCTGGAGATAGAGTAAGAAAAACTCTTGAAGTCCTTGGTGTAGGCAAAGACTTCATGAACAAATCCTCAACTGCACAGGAACTATCACAAAGAATCAACAAGTGGGATCTCATCTTGCGAAAAAGCTTTTTGCACAGTAAGAGCAACCAACAACATAGTGAAGAGACAACCCACAAATGGGAGAAAAAGTTGGCCATTATTCAGCTGTTATTCAGACAGAGGATTACTATCAAAATCACACAAAAAGTTAAAAAAAAAATCAGTCCTTCCAGATTTAAAAACCCAATCCAAAAATGAGCATCGGAGATGAATACATGCTTCTCAGATGAAGAAATACAAACAGCAGGGCTGGGGACTAAGCTCAGTGGTGTAAGTGCCTGTCTGGCAAGCACAAGTTCAATCCCTGGTACCAAAAAATAAATAAATCAAATACATAAATGAAAACAGTGTTAAACATCACCAGTCATTCAAAAGATGCAAATTAAAACAACACTGAAATCTACCGCACCCCAGAAAGAATGGCCATCATCAAGAAATTAAAGAACAAATGCTGGAGGGGACGCGAGGGGGGGGGAACCTTCTCCACTGTTGGAAGGAATGTAGACTGGTGCAACCACTATGGAAGTCAGTGTGGAGATTCCTCAAAAACCTAGGATTGGAGGTCCCATTTGACCCAGCTATTCCACTTCTGTGTGTCTTCCTACAAGAATTAAAAATACCATACCTCAGTGATACATGTGCACCCAAGTGTACAGCATCACCATTTGTAACAGCTAGATCTTAGAAACAATCTAAATGGCCATCAACTGAGGAATGGATTTTAAAAAAGTAGTACCTTTATAAAATGGAGCACTACTCAGCATACAAAAGGATAAACCTGAGTCTTTTATAAACGGTTGCAACTTGAGACCACACTCATAAGTGAAATAAATCAGACATGTATAAACATCGTATTGTCTTACTAGTGCGAGAAGCTGAAAGATATATGTGTATGTTGATATACAAAATACAGTTAATACGGGTATAAAAATAAATAAAATTTCAGCTAGTAATGACAGGATTCCATCAACATTCAAGAAAGAAGTTGTTTTTAGAGTTCACATGTGAAGTGACCAAAACCCTAGCAATGAGATGGAACATGCTGAGTCTGACCCCCACTTCTGACCCAAGAGGCCTGAGCTGTAGTTGGGGTGGTCACCGGTGATAGCAATGCTGCTGATGCACAGGGAGCAGGAAAATCACAGACATCAAGCACAATGTCCCAGGCCTCAGATCTGGGTGTCTCTCAGGACTCAGGGGCCTTGGTGTGGGTGACTGTTTCTCCCTGAGATTTCCCCACTGAGGAACAGGTGGGAGAGCACTCCCCTAGGGTGCTATGTAGGGCCTGTAGGGCCCAGCTGTGATTTCCTGCCACACCTCCCTTGGACTGTGGGCGGGGCTGCCGAGCCCAACTGTCATTTGGGCATTGTGGGGGGCAGGCCCTGCAGACCCTGCTGTCAGTTCTCCCCATCCCTCCCTTGTGCTGGGCGGGGCCTGCACACCCTACACTCAGTTTCTGCCATTCCTTCTTCCAGCTGTGGGCGTGGTCTGCAGAACCAACTGTCAGTCCCTGCCTTCCTCCCTCGGGCAGTGGGCAGGGCTGCAGAACCCAAGGGTCAGTTGCCGCCTTCTTCCCTTGGGCAGTGGGTGGGGCCTGCTGTGCCCAGCTGTCCTTTCCTCCATCCCTGCCTCCCTGGTGGTGGGCAGAGCACACACCACCCAGTGCAGGGGTGTGAGCACTCTGTTGAACAGGAATTGGAGTCCCTTGAGATGCACTTGGTGCCCAAGCCACCACAGCTGCCTGTGCCCCTTCTGATGAGCCAAGGTCTCCAGCGCTATGGACCAAAGCCACCTTGTGAGATCCCTTCATTTTCCTCAAAACGGGGCTCCTGCTCCATCCAGCAGGCCAGGTGCCCCTTCTCTGCTTCTTCCACTACTTCCCACTGTTGTGCTCTGACTGGGACCCCAAGCTTTGCAACGTTCCATCTCAATTTCTGCCTTTGGCCACACGAGAGCAATTGCTTGCCAGATAGTTCACCTCTCAAAACACATTGGTGTGATTTGAGGAACTATTTTCAAGATGATAATATGTAATATACTAACAGGTGATTTCTTACTGTTATGTTTTTTTTTGTTTGTTTTGTTTTGTTTTTTTGTAGTTCTGTATTACGTGTACCCTTACACCGCTTTGGTTTGTTTTGTGTTTTTCTCTTTTTCCTCTTAAATAAAAAAAAATAATAATAATTAAAAAAAAAAACACATTGGTAGCAGTTTATCCGTGGATTCCACCAGGATGGGTTTCTGGTGAGCCGTGATCAAGGTACCACAGCAGTGGGTGTGTGTCCCATGCACTGCATCCTATAATAAGACAAGGTGTCCTGAATTTGAGCTTAAGGATCTCTTGCAAGCTGGGTTATATGTTTATTCGTATCCTTCCTATGACCCTTGCTAGGACTCCAAATCCACTACTGGCTTTTA